GCTCGGGCGGCTGTAGACCTGGACCATGGGTGGACTCGGGGGGGGGGGGGGGGGGGCCTTAACATAAACTCGCTTTAGACCAGTTTGAGTCCGCAGCGAGACCTGGTTCCGTCCCGGTCTGGCCCTCGTGTGCAGGGGGAATAATGTGTCCTTGTTTTGGGCGTATTTCAGAGATTCTGAACGAAAAACAACACTTTTCCTTCGCTCATTGTTAGTGTTTGTGAGAAACCATTTGTGTTTTCTATTTTCAAATGATAATAACACTGAGCAGAAGTCTCCATCCCCCGGTTCTCTTTACCATCAACCACAGTCGGAGTCTTTTGTGGTCGTTGTGGATGAGCTTACTTGTCCTCTCTGGTCTCTCTCTTGTCTATTTCTCTGATCTCTCTCTCTGGTCTCTCTCTCTGGTCTCTCTCCCTGATCCCTCTCTGGTCTCTCTCTCTGATCCCTCTCTGGTCTCTCTCTCTGGTCTCTCTCTCTGGTCTCTCTCTCTGATCCCTCTCTGGTCTCTCTCTTGTCTATTTCTCTGATCTCTCTCTCTGGTCTCTTTCTGATCCATCTCTGGTCTCTCTCTCTGGTCTCTCTCTCTGGTCTCTCTCCCTGATCCCTCTCTGGTCTCTCTCTCTGGTCTCTCTCTCTGATCCCTCTCTGGTCTCTCTCTCTGGTCTCTCTCTCTGATCCCTCTCTGGTCTCTCTCTCTGGTCTCTCTGGTCTCTCTCTCTGGTCTCTCTCTCTGGTCTCTCTCTGATCTCTCTCTCTGGTCTCTCTCTCTGATCCCTCTCTGGTCTCTTTCTCTGGTCTCTCTCTCTGGTCTCTCTCTCTGGTCTCTCTCTCTGGTCTCTTTCTCTGGTCTCTCTCTCTGGTCTCTCTCTCTGGTCTCTCTCTGGTCTCTCTCTCTGGTCTCTCTCTGATCTCTCTCTGGTCTCTCTCTCTGATCCCTCTCTGGTCTCTCTCTCTGGTCTCTCTCCCTGATCCCTCTCTGGTCTCTCTCTCTGATCCCTCTCTGGTCTCTCTCTCTGGTCTCTCTCTCTGGTCTCTCTCTCTGATCCCTCTCTGGTCTCTCTCTTGTCTATTTCTCTGATCTCTCTCTCTGGTCTCTCTCTCTGGTCTCTTTCTGATCCATCTCTGGTCTCTCTCTCTGGTCTCTCTCTCTGGTCTCTCTCCCTGATCCCTCTCTGGTCTCTCTCTCTGGTCTCTCTCTCTGATCCCTCTCTGGTCTCTCTCTCTGGTCCCTCTCTGGTCTCTCTCTCTGGTCTCTCTGGTCTCTCTCTCTGGTCTCTCTCTCTGGTCTCTCTCTGATCTCTCTCTCTGGTCTCTCTCTCTGATCCCTCTCTGGTCTCTTTCTCTGGTCTCTCTCTCTGGTCTCTCTCTCTGGTCTCTCTCTCTGGTCTCTTTCTCTGGTCTTCTCTCTGGTCTCTCTCTCTGGTCTCTCTCTGGTCTCTCTCTCTGGTCTCTCTCTGATCTCTCTCTCTGGTCTCTCTCTCTGATCCCTCTCTGGTCTCTTTCTCTGGTCTCTCTCTCTGGTCTCTCTCTCTGATCCCTCTCTGGTCTCTTCTCTGGTCTCTCTCTCTGGTTCTCTCTCTGGTCTCTCTCTCTGGTCTCTCTCTCTGGTCTCTCTCTGGTCTCTCTCTCTGGTCTCTCTCTGATCTCTCTCTGGTCTCTCTCTCTGATCCTCTCTGGTCTCTCTCTCCCTCTCTGGCTCTCTCTCTCTCTCTGGTCTCTGTGATTACAAAGCTGCCCATTCTTCTCAGTAAAAAGCCTTCAGTTCCTGTAAATTCCGGGGCTCCCTTGCATGAACGATGATTGAAAAAGTGTAATTTCTGAAATATGGCCAGAATCTGGAGCGCACCGAGACGCACAGGGTTTGTCAGAGGAGCGTTGTAGTCAGGCTCAGTACGGCGCGTCCCCACCTCCACCACCCCTCACCACCTCCACCCTGCGTCTCATCCACCCCGCACCTCCTCCACAACACACCTCCACCCCGTACTTCCTCCACACTGCACCTCCTCTATCCCAAACCTTCTCCACACCTCCACCCCTCACCTCCTCCACACCCTCTACACCACACATCCACCTGCAGCTCCTACACGCTGCACCTCCTCCCCCCGCCTCCTCCACACCACTCCACTTCCTCCCCACTGCCATCCTCCCCTCCGCACCTCCTCCCCTCCGCGCCTCCTCCCCTCCGCGCCTCCTCCCCTCCGTGCCTCCTCCCCTCCGCGCCTCCTCCCCTCCGCGCCTCCTCCCCTCCGCGCCTCCTCCCCTCCGCGCCTCCTCCACCCCGGAGCAGCAGGGCCTGTGAGATTAGACAGAGCAGCATTTTGCACGTCGGAGCTGCAGGAGCTCGTCTTTGCGCCTCGTTCTGTTTCTTTCTGAAGGCGTTTGTTCTCATGGTTTTCCTGCCGAGGACGTTAACAGTTGTTCCATATTTATTAATGTTTAATCATTTCAACATATTCAGCACAAACCTGAGGCAAGTCAGACTTTTGTATCTGCGGCAAAAACCAATATTTACATCAGTTAAAACGGCATTGTTTATGACAAATATATATATCAGAGATGAGTACGAAATACGAGAGTACGTTTTTTACTGAAATGAAGATTTGTGGAGTCCATTGCTTGATGGTTTGGCTTCTGGTTGTAATGTTTGACTTATATTTTTGTACATTTCTAATAATTCTAAAGTAAAATCTTGCCAAAACGACTTACTGACGCAGAACAATAGCACTGTTTTAACTTGTGTTGTGTCTGTTTGTGTGTGTATAAGGGGGTGGGTTCTAAATATTTCAAAATGACTGATTTTACAGATGTTTTTAAATCCCAAAGCATTTCAGTTTTGCATTTTGTGTGGACTTCTCACTCAGTCCTGGGACAAGTTTCTCACTGGATTATTTCTTTGTCCCATTAATCTATAATGATCCAAAGTTGTTGATGTCATGATTCAAAAGAAAACTGTCTTTGGTCCTTTCAAAGCAAAATACACTGGTCCCTCGATATATGAGGCCTTGCTTTTTTGCTAATTTCTCTGTGAAATTGTTTAAAGATAGAGGAAGACTTGTGTGCAGCGTGATGATTAGTTCAGAGGACTCAGTCTGGTCTCTGTCTGGTCTTCCCGTAGACCTCGGTCCTGCTCCTGACCCTCAGTGTCCTCTGCAGCTGTATTTTACAGTGTATGCACGGCTTTTGACAGCTGCAGCAGCTATATAACAGCTGCTACTGCAAGGATTTTATGGGATGTTTTTTAGAACACATCCACCCCTGCGATAAACCAGGGACCAGTGTAAACGCATGTTCATTTTGGCCCCGATTTAAAGTTTGGGTCTTTGAAGTTGATCTGAGATTTTCCAATTTACATTGTCAGAAACTGGTGCAGCAGTTGCAGTTGTGGCCCGCCCCCTGCTGGTTGTGCGTATGTGTCGTTGATCTGGGTTGTGTTTGCGGTGGTGTGTGAGTGTGGTCGTGTGCGTCGTGTGTGTGCAAGCGCTGCTAATGTCCTCGAGCCTCTCCAGTGTCTTAAGAGTTTCAGAGCAATGCCCACATGTCCCGTGACCTGATTGGATGCCTATTTTCTTATTCTATATAGATATGTAAACAGATAAAATCTATATTAAAGGAGCTCCAATACTACGGGACTTATTATATAAAGAGGGAGAGGAATAAGTGGTGGAGCGCTCCTTTAATATAGAATCTGTTTAAATCTATATAGAATAAGAAAATAGGCAGTAATCAGGTCACGGCTGCCACATGTGGGCACTGCTCTCGAAACGCTTAAGACTCTGGAGAGGCTGGCGAGGACATTAGCAGCGCTGCACACACACGCACACACACACACACACACACACACACAGACAACGACACATACGCACAACCAGCAGGGGGCGGGCCACAACTGCAACTGCTGCACCAGTTTCTGACAATGTAAATTGGAAAATCTAGATCAACTTCAAAGACCCAAACTTTAATCGGGGCCAAAATGAACATGCGGTTTACACTGGTCCCCTGGTTTATCGCAGGGGTGATGTGTTCTAAAAAACATCCCATAAAATCCTTGCAGTAGCAGCTGTTATATAGCTGCTGCAGCTGTCAAAAGCCGTGCATACACTGTAAAATACAGCTGCAGAGGACACTGAGGGTCAGGAGCAGGGGACCGAGGACTACGGGAAGACCAGACAGAGACCAGACTGAGTCCTCTGAAACTAATCATCACGCTGCACACAAGTCTTCCTTCTATTCTTTAAAACAATTTCACAGAGAAATTAGCAAAAAAGCAAGGCCTCATATATCGAGGGGACCAGTGTATTTTGCTTTGAAAGGACCAAAGACAGTTTTCTTTTGAATCATGACATCAACAACTTTGGATCATTATAGATTAATGGGACAAAGAAATAATCCAGTGAGAAACTTGTCCCAGGACTGAGTGAGAAGTCCACACAAAATGCAAAACTGAAATGCTTTGGGATTTTTTTTTTTTTTTTTTTTTAAAAACATCTGTAAAATCAGTCATTTTGAAATATTTAGAACCCACCCCCATTATACACACACAAACAGACACACACAAGTTAAAACAGTGCTATTGTTCTGCGTCAGTAAGTCGTTTTGGCAAGATTTACTTTAGAATTATTAGAAATGTACAAAAATATAAGTCAAACATTACAACCAGAAGCCAAACCATCAAGCAATGGACTCCACAAATCTTCATTTCAGTAAAAAACGTACTTCTCGTATTTCGTACTCATCTCTGATATATATATTTGTCATAACAAAAACAATGCCGTTTTAACTGATGTAAATATTGGTTTTTGCCGCAGATACAAAAGTCTGACTTGCCTCAGGTTTGTGCTGAATATGTTGAAATGATTAAACATTAATAAATATGGAAACAACTGTTAACGTCCTCGGCAGGAAAACCATGAGAACAAACGCCTTCAGAAAGAAACAGAACGAGGCGCAAAGACGAGCTCCTTGCAGCTCCGACGTGCAAAATGCTGCTCTGTCTAATCTCACAGGCCCTGCTGCTCCGGGGTGGAGGAGGCGCGGAGGGGAGGAGGCGCGGAGGGGAGGAGGCGCGGAGGGGAGGAGGCGCGGAGGGGAGGAGGCACGGAGGGGAGGAGGCGCGGAGGGGAGGAGGCGCGGAGGGGAGGAGGTGCGGAGGGGAGGATGGCAGTGGGGAGGAAGTGGAGTGGTGTGGAGGAGGCGGGGGGAGGAGGTGCAGCGTGTAGGAGCTGCAGGTGGATGTGTGGTGTAGAGGGTGTGGAGGAGGTGAGGGGTGGAGGTGTGGAGAAGGTTTGGGATAGAGGAGGTGCAGTGTGGAGGAAGTACGGGGTGGAGGTGTGTTGTGGAGGAGGTGCGGGGTGGATGAGACGCAGGGTGGAGGTGGTGAGGGGTGGTGGAGGTGGGGACGCGCCGTACTGAGCCTGACTACAACGCTCCTCTGACAAACCCTGTGCGTCTCGGTGCGCTCCAGATTCTGGCCATATTTCAGAAATTACACTTTTTCAATCATCGTTCATGCAAGGGAGCCCCGGAATTTACAGGAACTGAAGGCTTTTTACTGAGAAGAATGGGCAGCTTTGTAATCACAGAGACCAGAGAGAGAGACCAGAGAGAGAGACCAGAGAGGGATCAGAGAGAGAGACCAGAGAGAGATCAGAGAGAGACCAGAGAGAGAGACCAGAGAGAGACCAGAGAGAGAGACCAGAGAGAGAGACCAGAGAGAGAGACCAGAGAGAGAGACCAGAGAAAGAGACCAGAGAGGGATCAGAGAGAGAGACCAGAGAGAGAGACCAGAGAAAGAGACCAGAGAGGGATCAGAGAGAGAGACCAGAGAGAGATCAGAGAGAGACCAGAGAGAGAGACCAGAGAGAGACCAGAGAGAGAGACCAGAGAGAGAGACCAGAGAAAGAGACCAGAGAGAGAGACCAGAGAGAGAGACCAGAGAGAGAGACCAGAGAAAGAGACCAGAGAGGGATCAGAGAGAGAGACCAGAGAGAGAGATCAGAGAGAGACCAGAGAGAGAGACCAGAGAGAGAGACCAGAGAGACCAGTGAGAGAGACCAGAGAGGGACCAGAGAGAGAGACCAGAGAGGGATCAGAGAGAGAGACCAGTGAGAGAGACCAGAGAGGGATCAGGGAGAGAGACCAGAGAGAGAGACCAGAGAGAGAGACCAGAGATGGATCAGAAAGAGACCAGAGAGAGAGACCAGAGAGGAGAGATCAGAGAAATAGACAAGTAGAGAGACCAGAGAGGGATCAGAGAGAGAGACCAGAGAGAGAGACCAGAGAGAGAGACCAGAGAGGGATCAGAGAGAGAGACCAGAGAGGGATCAGGGAGAGAGACCAGAGAGAGAGACCAGAGAGGGATCAGAGAGAGAGACCAGAGAGAGATCAGAGAGAGACCAGAGAGAGAGACCAGAGAGAGACCAGAGAGAGAGACCAGAGAGAGAGACCAGAGAAAGAGACCAGAGAGAGAGACCAGGAGAGAGAGACCAGAGAGAGAGAGAGAGACCAGAGAAAGAGACCAGAGAGGGATCAGAGAGAGAGACCAGAGAGAGAGATCAGAGAGAGACCAGGAGAGAGAGACCAGAGAGAGAGACCAGAGAGACCAGAGAGAGAGACCAGAGAGGGATCAGAGAGAGAGACCAGAGAGAGAGACCAGAGAGGGATCAGAGAGAGAGACCAGAGAGAGAGACCAGAGAGGGATCAGGGAGAGAGACCAGAGAGAGTGACCAGAGAGAGAGACCAGAGATGGATCAGAAAGAGACCAGAGAGAGAGACCAGAGAAATAGACAAGAGAGAGACCAGAGAGGGATCAGAGAGAGAGACCAGAGAGGGAGACCAGAGAGAGAGACCAGAGAGGGATCAGGGAGAGAGACCAGAGAGAGAGACCAGAGAGAGAGATCAGAGAAATAGACAAGAGAGAGACCAGAGAGGACAAGTAAGCTCATCCACAACGACCACAAAAGACTCCGACTGTGGTTGATGGTAAAGAGAACCGGGGGATGGAGACTTCTGCTCAGTGTTATTATCATTTGAAAATAGAAAACACAAATGGTTTCTCACAAACACTAACAATGAGCGAAGGAAAAGTGTTGTTTTTCGTTCAGAATCTCTGAAATATGCCCAAAACAAGGACACATTATTCCCCCTCCCCCTGCACACGAGGGCACCCCAGACCGGGACGGAACCAGGTCTCGCAGCGGACTATCAAACTGGTCTAAAGCGAGTTTATGTTAAGGCCCCCCCCCCCCCCCCCCCCCCCCCCCCCCCCCGAGTCCACCCCATGGTCCAGGTCTACAGCCGCCCGAGCAGGAGGGGGAGGGGGGAGGGGGTAGGGGGTAGGGGGTAGTGTCCTCCTCAGAGCTTGTCCTTGGCCTGGACCCAGATGACGGGACACGACTGATCCTCGATGTATTTTTTTGCATAGATTTTAAGTGTGTCCTTAATGCAACCTTTTCTCACCGTTTTGGGTCTAAAAAAAGTGAGTTTACGTTTACTTGTGAATCAATAATAGGAGCCAGAGAGAGGAGCCAAACTTCACCATGAGCACTTTCCCATTAGGCTTCATTGAGCTAGCAGGTTGTCCCTGTGTGTACAGTCTGTGGTCTGAGGGGCACGTACCGGTGAAGTGCTCGGTGAACTCCTGCTCCAGTTTCGCAGCTCGGTCAAACGTCTTCTGCCCCTGCTCCTCACTCAGCCGCTTGTTCATTTCCCTGAAGGACACGATACAGTTACTACAGAGTATTTCATGTGGACTGCAGAGTATTTCTATTTCCACAGTCTGAATGATGCACCCACTCCTTGCTTGAGAGCCTCTTCAGTCCTGGGTCTGCAGCCTCAGTCCTGGGTCTGCAGCCTCAGTCCTGGGTCTGCAGCCTCAGTCCTGGGTCAGCAGCCTCAGTCCTGGGTCAGCAGCCTCAGTCCTGGGTCTACAGCCTCAGTCCTGGGTCAGCAGCCTCAGTCCTGGGTCAGCAGCCTCAGTCCTGGGTCTACAGCCTCAGTCCTGGGTCTACAGCCTCAGTCCTGGGTCAGCAGCCTCAGTCCTGGGTCTGCAGCCTCAGTCCTGGGTCTGCAGCCTCAGTCCTGGGTCTACAGCCTCAGTCCTGGGTCTGCAGCCTCAGTCCTGGGTCAGCAGCCTCAGTCCTGGGTCTGCAGCCTCAGTCCTGGGTCAGCAGCCTCAGTCCTGGGTCTACAGAACTGAGGCTGTATTGTATTTCAAACTGTTAATTTTAAGTACAATACGATTGAAATACTCAAAAAATAGTAAAATTATGCTCTACATCAAAATTTTCGCTCCATAAACATCCATCAAATGATAAAGAATACGAGAATGTACAAATCTAAAATGGGTTCCGAAGTCTAAACTAAAACACACCAGCACCGCTTTGTGACAAATCCTGAAACTGAACTGTTGAGAGTGCCCAGGGTGTGTGGCTGTGTGTGTAGTAGCAGGGCACGGGCAGCAGGGGGCAGACTCACAGGATGTTCTCCACAGTCTTGGGTTTGATGAAGATCGCGATGGGATGAAGCTGGGCCAGCTGCAGTCTCTTTATGGCGTTTCCAGATACGTCCAGGATGCAGTGTTTCCCCTGAAACAAGAGACAGAATAATGTGTGGTCATGTCTGACCAGAGAGAGACCAGAGCGAGACCAGAGCGAGACCAGAGAGAGACCAGAGCGAGACCAGAGAGAGAAAAGAGCGAGACCAGAGAGAGACCAGAGCAAGACCAGAGCGAGACCAGAGCGAGACCAGAGCGAGACCAGAGCGAGACCAGAGCGAGACAGAGCGAGACCAGAGAGAGACCAGAGAGAGACCAGAGAGAGACCAGAGAGAGACCAGAGAGAGAAAAGAGCGAGACCAGAGCGAGACCAGAGCGAGACCAGAGCGAGACCAGAGAGAGAAAAGAGCGAGACCAGAGAGAGACCAGAGCGAGACCAGAGCGAGACCAGAGCGAGACCAGAGAGAGACCAGAGAGAGACCAGAGAGAGACCAGAGAGAGACCAGAGAGAGACCAGAGAGAGACCAGAGAGAGAAAAGAGCGAGACCAGAGCGAGACCAGAGCGAGACCAGAGCGAGACCAGAGCGAGACCAGAGCGAGACCAGAGCGAGACCAGAGCGAGACCAGAGAGAGAAAAGAGCGAGAAAAGAGCGAGAAAAGAGCGAGACCAGAGCGAGACCAGAGCGAGACCAGAGCGAGACCAGAGAGAGAAAAGAGCGAGACCAGAGAGAGACCAGAGCGAGACCAGAGAGAGAAAAGAGCGAGACCAGAGAGAGACCAGAGCAAGACCAGAGCGAGACCAGAGCGAGACCAGAGCGAGACCAGAGCGAGACCAGAGAGAGACCAGAGCGAGACCAGAGCGAGACCAGAGCGAGACCAGAGAGAGACCAGAGAGAGACCAGAGAGAGACCAGAGAGAGAGAAAGACCAGCAAGAGAAAGACCTGAGGGACACCAGAACACCAGAGAGAGAGAGACTCAAGGACCAAACTTGTTACAATTTAAACAGCTCCTCATAAAGTAAGCACTGAAGAAGAATGTGGCGGTGTGAGACTTCAAAGTGAGTAGTGGGAGAGAAGTGTAGTGTGTGTGTGAGTCGAGTGTGCGTCATTGAATGAGTGAAGGGTTGGAGCCAAATGTTGTATTTCTGTTCATTGTGCATCTGGTTTATCATTAAATTACATTTCATATGTTTAAATTCTTAATTTTACTTCTTACATGGACTCTCATGTCTTCTTAGCAGAGAGAAGGGCGTCACATGATCATTTGACCACAGCACCGTCTTGAAGAAATAAGTGCTATCAAATATTTAAGTGTGTGGTACAAGCTGTACTTTTGCAACCCATGTGTTTGTGTGTGTATTCCGTCACTGTGTGTGTGTGTGTATTCCGTCACTGTGTGCGTGTGCGTGTGCGTGCGTGCGCGTGTGTGTGTGTGTGTGTGTGTGTGTGTGTGTGTGTGTGTGTGTGTGTGTGTGTGTGTGTGTGTAAAACTTCACTGTGCGTGTGTGTAAACCTTCACTGGGGGTGTGTTGTGTGTATACCTTCTCTGGGTAGTTCTCCATGTGTGCGTATGGTGAATACACACCTTCTCCGCGACCTGCCGCACGGACTGCACACTGGTCCCGTACAGGTGTCCGTTGTACTGGCCGGCTTCGATGAAGCGGTGCTCCTGGATGTCCCGCTCCATCTGCTCACGAGAAACTACGAAGTGATAATCCCGAGCGTCTACCTCGTAGTCCCGCTTCGGCCGCGTCGTATCTATGACAAATAATACACTTCAGTTAGAGCTGGACTCAATCTCCAAGATGTCTGCCAGTGGTCTCTCCAACATGTCTGCCAGTGGTCTCTCCAACATGTCTGCCAGTGGTCTCTCCAACATGTCTGCCAGTGGTCTCTCCAACATGTCTGCCACTGGTCTCTCCAACATGTCTGCCACTGGTCTCTCCAACATGTCTGCCACTGGTCTCTCCAACATGTCTGCCACTGGTCTCTCCAACATGTCTGCCACTGGTCTCTCCAACATGTCTGCCACTGGTCTCTCCAACATGTCTGCCAGTGGTCTCTCCAACATGTCTGCCACTGGTCTCTCCAACATGTCTGCCACTGGTCTCTCCAACATGTCTGCCACTGGTCTCTCCAACATGTCTGCCACTGGTCTCTCCAACATGTCTGCCACTGGTCTCTCCAACATGTCTGCCACTGGTCTCTCCAACATGTCTGCCACTGGTCTCTCCAACATGTCTGCCAGTGGTCTCTCCAACATGTCTGCCAGTGGTCTCTCCAACATGTCTGCCAGTGGTCTCTCCAACATGTCTGCCACTGGTCTCTCCAACATGTCTGCCACTGGTCTCTCCAACATGTCTGCCAGTGGTCTCTCAAACATGTCTGCCAGTGGTCTCTCAAACATGTCTGCCACTGGTCTCTCAAACATGTCTGCCACTGGTCTCTCAAACATGTCTGCCACTGGTCTCTCAAACATGTCTGCCACTGGTCTCTCCAACATGTCTGCCACTGGTCTCTCCAACATGTCTGCCACTGGTCTCTCCAACATGTCTGCCCCTAGCCTCTCCAACATGTCTGCCACTGGTCTCTCCAACATGTCTGCCAGTGGTCTCTCCAACATGTCTGCCACTGGTCTCTCCAACATGTCTGCCACTGGTCTCTCCAACATGTCTGCCACTGGTCTCTCCAACATGTCTGCCACTGGTCTCTCCAACATGTCTGCCACTGGTCTCTCCAACATGTCTGCCACTGGTCTCTCCAACATGTCTGCCACTGGTCTCTCCAACATGTCTGCCACTGGTCTCTCCAACATGTCTGCCACTGGTCTATCCAACATGTCTGCCACTGGTCTCTCCAACATGTCTGCCACTGGTCTCTCCAACATGTCTGCCACTGGTCTCTCCAACATGTCTGCCACTGGTCTCTCCAACATGTCTGCCACTGGTCTCTCCAACATGTCTGCCACTGGTCTCTCCAACATGTCTGCCACTGGTCTCTCCAACATGTCTGCCACTGGTCTCTCCAACATGTCTGCCACTGGTCTCTCCAACATGTCTGCCACTGGTCTCTCCAACATGTCTGCCACTGGTCTCTCCAACATGTCTGCCACTGGTCTCTCCAACATGTCTGCCACTGGTCTCTCCAACATGTCTGCCACTGGTCTCTCCAACATGTCTGCCACTGGTCTCTCCAACATGTCTGCCACTGGTCTCTCCAACATGTCTGCCACTGGTCTCTCCAACATGTCTGCCACTGGTCTCTCCAACATGTCTGCCACTGGTCTCTCCAACATGTCTGCCACTGGTCTCTCCAACATGTCTGCCACTGGTCTCTCCAACATGTCTGCCACTGGTCTCTCCAACATGTCTGCCACTGGTCTCTCCAACATGTCTGCCCCTGGTCTCTCCAACATGTCTGCCACTGGCCTCTCCAACATGTCTGCCCCTGGTCTCTCCAACATGTCTGCCCCTAGCCTCTCCAACATGTCTGCCACTGGTCTCTCCAACATGTCTGCCAGTGGTCTCTCCAACATGTCTGCCAGTGGTCTCTCCAACATGTCTGCCAGTGGTCTCTCCAACATGTCTGCCAGTGGTCTCTCCAACATGTCTGCCAGTGGTCTCTCCAACATGTCTGCCAGTGGTCTCTCCAACATGTCTGCCACTGGTCTCTCCAACATGTCTGCCACTGGTCTCTCCAACATGTCTGCCCCTAGCCTCTCCAACATGTCTGCCAGTCGTCTCTCCAACATGTCTGCCAGTGGTCTCTCCAACATGTCTGCCAGTGGTCTCTCCAACATGTCTGCCAGTGTGGTCTCTCCAACATGTCTGCCACTGGTCTCTCCAACATGTCTGCCACTGGTCTCTCCAACATGTCTGCCACTGGTCTCTCCAACATGTCTGCCACTGGTCTCTCCAACATGTCTGCCACTGGTCTCTCCAACATGTCTGCCACTGGTCTCTCCAACATGTCTGCCACTGGCCTCTCCAACATGTCTGCCCCTGGTCTCTCCAACATGTCTGCCCCTAGCCTCTCCAACATGTCTGCCACTGGTCTCTCCAACATGTCTGCCAGTGGTCTCTCCAACATGTCTGCCAGTGGTCTCTCCAACATGTCTGCCAGTGGTCTCTCCAACATGTCTGCCAGTGGTCTCTCCAACATGTCTGCCACTGGTCTCTCCAACATGTCTGCCACTGGTCTCTCCAACATGTCTGCCCCTAGCCTCTCCAACATGTCTGCCAGTCGTCTCTCCAACATGTCTGCCAGTGGTCTCTCCAACATGTCTGCCAGTGGTCTCTCCAACATGTCTGCCAGTGGTCTCTCCAACATGTCTGCCAGTGGTCTCTCCAACATGTCTGCCACTGGTCTCTCCAACATGTCTGCCACTGGTCTCTCCAACATGTCTGCCACTGGTCTCTCCAACATGTCTGCCACTGGTCTCTCCAACATGTCTGCCACTGGTCTCTCCAACATGTCTGCCACTGGTCTCTCCAACATGTCTGCCACTGGTCTCTCCAACATGTCTGCCCCTAGCCTCTCCAACATGTCTGCCAGTGGTCTCTCCAACATGTCTGCCAGTGGTCTCTCCAACATGTCTGCCAGTGGTCTCTCCAACATGTCTGCCACTGGTCTCTCCAACATGTCTGCCACTGGTCTCTCCAACATGTCTGCCACTGGTCTCTCCAACATGTCTGCCAGTGGTCTCTCCAACATGTCTGCCACTGGTCTCTCAAACATGTCTGCCACTGGTCTCTCAAACATGTCTGCCACTGGTCTCTCAAACATGTCTGCCACTGGTCTCTCCAACATGTCTGCCCCTAGCCTCTCCAACATGTCTGCCAGTGGTCTCTCCAACATGTCTGCCAGTGGTCTCTCCAACATGTCTGCCAGTGGTCTCTCCAACATGTCTGCCACTGGTCTCTCCAACATGTCTGCCACTGGTCTCTCCAACATGTCTGCCACTGGTCTCTCCAACATGTCTGCCAGTGGTCTCTCCAACATGTCTGCCACTGGTCTCTCAAACATGTCTGCCACTGGTCTCTCAAACATGTCTGCCACTGGTCTCTCAAACATGTCTTCCACTGGTCTCTCCAACATGTCTGCCACTGGTCTCTCCAACATGTCTGCCACTGGTCTCTCCAACATGTCTGCCCCTAGCCTCTCCAACATGTCTGCCACTGGTCTCTCCAACATGTCTGCCAGTGGTCTCTCCAACATGTCTGCCAGTGGTCTCTCCAACATGTCTGCCACTGGTCTCTCCAACATGTCTGCCACTGGTCTCTCCAACATGTCTGCCACTGGTCTCTCCAACATGTCTGCCACTGGTCTCTCCAACATGTCTGCCACTGGTCTCTCCAACATGTCTGCCACTGGTCTATCCAACATGTCTGCCACTGGTCTCTCCAACATGTCTGCCACTGGTCTCTCCAACATGTCTGCCACTGGTCTCTCCAACATGTCTGCCACTGGTCTCTCCAACATGTCTGCCACTGGTCTCTCCAACATGTCTGCCACTGGTCTCTCCAACATGTCTGCCACTGGTCTCTCCAACATGTCTGCCACTGGTCTCTCCAACATGTCTGCCACTGGTCTCTCCAACATGTCTGCCACTGGTCTCTCCAACATGTCTGCCACTAGTCTCTCCAACATGTCTGCCACTGGTCTCTCCAACATGTCTGCCACTGGTCTCTCCAACATGTCTGCCACTGGTCTCTCCAACATGTCTGCCACTGGTCTCTCCAACATGTCTGCCCCTGGTCTCTCCAACATGTCTGCCACTGGCCTCTCCAACATGTCTGCCCCTGGTCTCTCCAACATGTCTGCCCCTAGCCTCTCCAACATGTCTGCCACTGGTCTCTCCAACATGTCTGCCAGTGGTCTCTCCAACATGTCTGCCAGTGGTCTCTCCAACATGTCTGCCAAGGGTCTCTCCAACATGTCTGCCAGTGGTCTCTCCAACATGTCTGCCACTGGTCTCTCCAACATGTCTGCCAGTGGTCTCTCCAACATGTCTGCCAGTGGTCTCTCCAACATGTCTGCCAGTGGTCTCTCCAACATGTCTGCCACTGGTCTCTCCAACATGTCTGCCACTGGTCTCTCCAACATGTCTGCCACTGGTCTCTCCAACATGTCTGCCACTGGTCTCTCCAACATGTCTGCCACTGGTCTCTCCAACATGTCTGCCACTGGTCTCTCCAACATGTCTGCCACTGGTCTCTCCAACATGTCTGCCACTGGTCTCTCCAACATGTCTGCCACTGGTCTCTCCAAGAAATTCAGAACGAAGCAAGAGCGAGTTTGGATTTATAGAAAACTGAACAGATTTCAAAGGAAACAAAGTTCAGGTAACAAGGGACACTAAAACGAGGAGGACCTACGTGGGACGCAGGAGCCAAATTTCTCTGGGAACTCTGAGATGAGGTCGTCGTTGATGCGGTCCTTCATGGGTCCAAGGATGATGACGGGACGAGTGTAGCTCACTACAAACACACAGACACACAGCATCAGCCGTAGGTTCAGTGAAAGGGGATTCTTTTGTTAACAGAGTGGGACAGCACTGACCTTCCTGCTGGACCACGTTCTCGTAGGACAGCACATACTCCTCCGGTCCTCCTGAGGGCAGCAGAGGTCAGGTGTCAGGTCAACCCACTGCATTTCACTCATGTTGTGGTTTTTCTCTGATAAGTAGTTCCGTGGCGCAATAGAAGCTGAACAATGTAACTTTAAAACTACAACATTAGAAATGTATTAAACCCATGTCTAGTTCCTGGCTCTAAATCCTTCCATCATCTCCATCATCCTTCTATCCTCTGTCACAGGAAGATGAAAGAGGTCCACCCTCCTCACTCGGCCAATCAGCTCCCAGCCCAATGAGTCAAATAGTGACTCATTGTAAGAGATAACATGTTTTCTGATATGATGACGACTTGTTTTCTCATAAAATGTTATTCAAACATGAGTCTTTAGTTTCACTTCATTTGTAATGAAACAGAAGAAGTCAAGCACCCCAACTTTAACCAATTAAACCAGACAACATTAGCCTCGTTTCCACCATCTCTACTCTAAAACTCTAAAACAGGGATTTAGTGAGTGTATCTTTTTTGCCTCAGACTGGTCTCTTGGCGTGTGTGTGTGTGCATGTGTGTGCATATGTGTGTGCGTGTGTGCATATATGTGCGCATATGTGTGCGTGTGTGTGTGTGTGTGCATGTGCGTGTGTGCATATGTGTGTGTGTGCGTGTGTGCATATGTGTGTGTGTGCATGTGCGTGTGTGCATATGTGTGTGTGTGCGTGTGTGCATATGTGTGTGTGTGTGTGCGTGTGCATATGTGTGTGTGTGTGCGTGTGTGCATATGTGTGTGTGTGTTTGTGTGTGTGCGTGTGCGCATATGTGTATGTGTGCGTGTGTGTGTGTGCGCGTATGTGCGTGTGCGCATATGTGTGTGTGTGCGTACTTACGGTAGCTGCTCTCACTGTCGCTGGCGTTGGACGTCACATGTTCTGCAACAACAAACAATATTATAATAATATTATAATCACAGAGACACATGCCTCTGACTGTGATTATAATATTAGGAGGGGGGAGGGGGGGAGGAGAGGAGAGGAGTGGGAGAACAGGGATCCAAGTAAAAGTCATAAAACATCACAAACAGATGTAAAACATGGCAAAAGACCTACAACGTAATTAAAGAAGAATTGTGACGCGTCACTTGTGGTTTTTAAAAGGTACAAGACTGTTAACTTTGTCATGATTCAAACTGTGGAATAATATGTTTATAGAATATTATATTTCAGTAGAAAATATATGTCACATTAAAGGTTTAAACACTTGCTGAGAAGCGAGAGTGCTAACCACTCAGCAAAACAATATCCTATGATTTAATTAAGTCACCTTTGGATTTCATCTGTGAAATAACCAGTTAAATAAAACGTTTTGAACTCGACATGGTTAAAATCTGATGCGCCTGTGCTCAGGGCTCTCCTCCTGAAGCCGTTTATCGTCCAACAATTTTTAAAATTTCAATCCATGTTTCAATAATTTAATGGAGATCTCACAACCACCAACAAAAACCCTATTTCCACCGATCCGAGTGGACCAGTCTCTGATTGGGAGTGTTTCCCCTGGTTCTGTTTAACCAGTACCAGGTCCTTCTTTAGTCCCTCCTGGTCCTGGTTCTATCCAGGCCCAGCTGGTACTACAGTGTTCTGACTGACAGTGATAGCGGTCACAGTGCTGCTGGAATACACCAAGGAATTTATCTGGTTTGTTGTGAGTAGGTTACAAGGATACGGCACCAGATACTAAAGTGTGATGGAAACAAAAGCAGGTAGAGACTGGTGGAGAGACTGGTGGAGAGACTGGTGGAGACAATCTCCCATCTTTTTAACTTTCAAGTACAACTACACGTGTACGTACCTGTTACTTTATAATATATTTAACCAATAAGATCTGCTCATAGCAGACCCTGATTTTGAGAAGAAGAAATTATTGAAGTTCTAGTGTGGACAGAGGACTTACTGTGTCCTCTGGAAAGAAGCTCTTCGCACAGGTCCTGCGGTCAGTGTGTGGACAAAACACAGTTATACAGAGAAAGGGAAGGAGGGGGAGGGGGAGGGGCACCCAAAAAACAGCAGAGAACCCTCCTCCTGCTGTCCGCTTAAAGAACACATATGTTGCATTTTGTCTGAACAATAAACACACATGTGTGATAGAAATTATTAGAAGCAGCAAGAATTGATTTCACAAAATTCAAAAGGAGTTATCTGAATGTTTTTTTTTATTTTTATGGAACAATACAGCTTTGTTTTGCACAGTTTTAGTGGCTTCTGTAGAGCAGCTCTCTCTACATCTTAGTCTGACGATTCATAAACATTTTAAATGAGGTTTTTTCTGCATAAAATGTGTCCTTTAACCACTTTTAAGGAAGAGGAGGATTCTTTTGCCGAGAGAGAGACAACTGTGACATCATCCTGCCGCTTCAGTCAAACCGCTCGTCTGTATGTGCGCGCTTGTATGTGCGCGCTTGTGTGTGCGCGCTTGTATGTGTGCGCTTGTGTGTGTGCGCTTGTGTGTGTGCGCTTGTGTGTGTGCGATAGTGTGCGTGCGTGTGCGGCGCGTGCTACTTACGCTCCACGTCGCTGCTCTCCTGCTCGCCCGCCTCTCTGCTCTTGTAGAAGGGGAACTTTCGGCTAAACGGGTTCTTTCTACGCTTGTCATTGAGCGACTGGAGGTGGACATGGGACAGAAGGACACACAGGACACACAGGTGAGCCCGGCGCGCCCTCTGAGCCTCTCTATCGTTTTATTACATAACAGAAACATTAACTTTAGGCTGCGGTACGTGATAAACATGTTTGTCCCAACAGAAAGAAACATATGTGGTTTGCGTCTCGTTAAAACATGAACTAATGCTGATTGGCTGAGTGAGGGTGGTCCTCTCTTTGTCACTTTTCTGTCTGAAAAAGCTGATCTAAAATGAGGCAGAGGCCAGAGTAAGAGGCCAGAGTAAAGCAGAGCAGAGAGTAGGGCTGGTGGAAACGGGGCCAATGTGTGTTATCAAAAATGGGCGATTGTTTTACACTTAAACACTTATGGGGCTTTCAGACCGCCAACACTGAAACGCTGAAGCCCCGCTCACAAGACGCGCATTCTCTAGTTTTCAGACGCAGAGGACTTCACACCAGAACGTCCTGACGCGAGCCAGAAGTACCGGAAGTAGCCGGCCGGCTCTAATGCTAACAGAGGTATGCTAGCGGCTTCTTGTGTACAGATCTTCTCCAATATGCAGCTTTGCAGCGTGTCTTTGCTCACAGACATTCCACAGGCTTTATATAACAGCAGTATGTGTTCACGGAGGTGCGCCATACGTTTTTTCTTATTATTAAACGGTATTTCCGCATCGGCGAACACACTCGAAGCAGTTGCAAAAGGTCACGGGAGCATGACAACGCATATTTTCACAAGCACAGAGTCCCCCATTGTCAACCCTGGTTTGAGTTCTGGTGAAGCCTGGTATAGCTCCTGTTTTGGCTGTTTATGAGTATTTTCAGTCTGCTCGCTCAGTCCGCTAATGTCCCCGTGACCACTTTGCTGCTCTCTGATTGGTCGCTGCACGAACGTCCCGAGGAAAGGATGAGCAGAATCCATCTCCTGTGGGCGTAGATTTTTCGCCCCTGCTCCTCCCCTTTCACTTTCCCGCCAAGTCCGTGCGTCATTATTGAACAGTCCGTCCGTGCGTGCCGAGAGGTCCGTGCGTTGTGACGGTCGAACGCGCGCCACCATAGACTTTGCATTGAAACCCGACGCAACGCATGGTCCGGTCTGAAAGCACCATAATACACGTTTTAGAGATTTCATGACATTTTGAAGCAACTGTGGTTAAAGTTGTCATTCAACAATATGCACAAGCCAGTACTTTTCCACAGCATGTTTTGATTTCTGAAGGCCAAGCTACTGGCATTGCGGCAAAAAGCTGATTGGAGGATTCCATTCCTCCGTGCTGTATATTACCACTTGCAGTCTGTAACATCTGTGTTCATCCTGTCTCTACCATCAACAATAAAACATGTCTTCTGTCTGAACTAAAGACACGATCCCAGACTTTGTCATCTTCTTCAACGTGACATCTGAATTTTGCGCATACATAAATAAAAGTGCTAAAAACAGCTCTTGAAATGCAACTGTAACAGGTCTGGGATCAGTTACAAGAAACTCTGGATTCTGTTGGGACAAACCAACATAAATAATGTGGATCTCGCTGGAACAAGACCGAGCTCTGCAGGTAAACATGACGCCACTGACCTCACACGTGACGTCATTCCTCTGACCTCACACGTTCAACACGGTGGGAGGAGTTAGTGGATGCATCAGGCTCATGCAGACGTGCAGGCCGTACGTACTAACGAGACTGAAACTGCTTTAGAGGCGAGCGAGAAGGCGAGCGAGAGGGCGAGCGAGAGGGCGAGCGAGAGGGCGAGCGAGAGGGCGAGCGAGAGGGCGAGCAAGAAGGCGAGCGAGAGGGCGAGCGAGAGGGCGAGCAAGAAGGCGAGCGAGAGGGCGAGCGAGAGGGCGAGCAAGAAGGCGAGCGAGAGGGCGAGCGAGAAGGCGAGCGAGAGGGCGAGCGAGAAGGCGAGCGAGAGGGCGAGTGAGAGGGCGAGCGAGAGGGCGAGCGAGAGGGCGAGTGAGAGGGCGAGCGAGAGGGCGAGCGAGAGGGCATGCATGAGGTCAGGAAGCAGCGGAGAAGAGGTGGAGACTGGGGAGGCCACATTATTGAGGCTAAATGTGAATTGATAATCGGTTTAAAAAACGGTTTTATTCTTTGTTTCACTCTGGACGGTGAGTTCTGTGAGAGGATGTGGTGAATGTGGTGAACGTTCAAACTCCAGGGTGAGGTGGAGGTCGCCCCCTTCAGTCACCTCAGGGAATAACTACTGCTGGAAACGGGCACAAGTGAAACAAACTTGCGAGTCTCCTCGCTCCACAGGGGGCGCTGGTGAGCAGATGGGAGAGGGTGATGTGCAGGGTTCTCAGCCCAGGTAAAAACATTATAAACAATGACATCACATGTGGAGCTGCAGGTTTTCACTGCCGAAGACTGTGGCGTTTATGACAATATTATATTTGTGAGATTCTATTGTTTGTGAATTTCTTCTAGAACGAGACACACGTGGCTCCCCGAGCGGGTTTGACTGAAGACTTCTGCATGCAGTTAATGTGTAGCTCAACACACACACAGACACACACCTAAGTATTGGCAAGCATTAGTTCAGTAGTGTCATGCAGCTCACTCCATCTTTTCTCCAGAAATGGGACGAACACAAAAGCAAAGTTCTTTTGGACCAGACTGATTTGGGGACATGGATTAGCTTTTAGTGATTGAATTTGGCTTTTGACATGTCAAAAGTTCTAATTTTAGTCCGAGATCATATGAAAATGTGCCCTGGTCCCATTCCTGGTCCCATTCCTGGTCCGAGTCATGGTCAGAGTCATGGTCAGAGTCATGGTCAGAGTCATGGTCAGAGTCATGGTCAGAGTCATGGTCAGAGTCATGGTCAGAGTCATGGTCAGAGTCCTGGTCCGGGTCCAGGTCCGGGTCCTGGTTTAAATGTGCTGCGGTTATGTCCCGTTTCTGAAATTTGTCACATTCTTTCAGTAGAGCCAGGTCTAAACCAGTAAACACCCATGCAGCCCCCACTCAGCCCTCCCCCTTTCCCCCCTCTCTCACTCACCCCTCGGTCTCTGGACTTGGGGATGAACTTGACAGTCTTTAACCTGGCTCGCTCCTTCTTCTCCACTCTGATACAAACATGAAACACATATTGGGGTCAACATTCTCCCATGATGCATTCTGATTCAAAATCTTTTATTGATGTTGCAATAACAGCAGACAGTCTTTTCGGGTATGACTCTACAAGCTCTGCACTTCTTGAGACCAAGTTCATTCCTCTTTACAAAACAACTGAAGCTCTGTTAGATTAGATCGACAGCGTTATAATAGCAGTTCTCAAGTCTTTCCACAGATTTTCTGATGGATTCAGGTTTGGACTGTGACTGTAAGTCATGAATATGTTTTGTTTTAAACCCAGTTCCCAAAGCCTGACTCTCGCCAGATCCTAGTTGTTCGCTGAGCTCCCCACAAGGATCTGGGTTTTTTCAATAGGAGATTGTCATTGGAATATTGTTCCAATGACAAGTTGTCATTTGTGGCTAGATACTGAATATAGTATACTGAAAGGTTAGCCTAAATGCTCTTAAAACCCACATATCACAACATAAAGCCATCAACATCTAGCCTCAAATTAAAAGTGACAACCGTGTCTTAATTCCTTTGTATTTAAAATTTTAAACTTTATGGACTTTATGTCCGCCATCTTGGTTTGCATTACATCATAAACAGCTGAGGAAGCGTATTTTGAGAAGGCAGTGCAAACCAACGTTACACTGGCGATCCTGATTGGTTTATTATTTTTTGCAATCATTGACGTTGATACCAGACCCTTGTGGGAGCACAGCAAAACGCCTCCGGTGGAGCATTGAAGAACTACAAGGGTCTGGAGAGAGTGAAGAAAAGCTGCCCCATAGCATGATGCTCCCCCGGCAGATTTGACACTAGGGATGGTGCATTCTGACCAAAGCTCGAGTCACAGAACTTCTGTATTTATAGTTTATTAAAGCCTCGTCACCTTTCTTCAGACTAGACAAAAGTTTGTTATGTTTATTGCCCTTTAATAATGTTGTTCATGTTATTATGTGATTGTATGTTTACGTAATATATTATTGACAGCGTCACCAATACATTCAATATTTTTAATAGAAATAAAATTAAAATTAAAAATTCAGTTTTCTCAAACCGCTTCTGAATGGAACCTGTGGGTTCTTCTGTACTCTTTGAGGATACAAAGATTACAGAATCCTTTTACAGGATCCTTTATCAGGATTGTCCTGATAAAAATGGCTCCAGCTTGTGTTTAAACCGGCTTCTTGTGCATCAAGGCTAACACTGTGGTGATGTCACACTCGGTCAGCCACTCTTGATATAAAGCGTTGAACCACAGCTTACCGTCTCTTGCTCGGGATCACCCCCACCTCCTCCGCCTCCCCCTGGCTGCTCAGGTGCCTCGCCTGCCACCACTCGTCATCAGAGGCGTTCATCACGTGGAGGATGTCACCAAAGCTGAAGTCCAGACCCTGACTGGGAAGACCCGAGTCCCGGGACTTATCGTAGTCGAACAGAGCCCTGAGAAACAAGCAATATACAGTTACGAGAGACCCGAGAGAGATAGACAAGAGAGAGGCTAGAGAGAGAGACAAGAGAAAAGAGTGACCAGAGAGAGACCAGAGAGAGACACCAGAGAGAGGGAGACCAGAGAGGGAGAGACCAGAGAGAGAGAGACCAGAGAGAGGGAGACCAGAGAGGGAGAGACCAGAGAGAGGCTAGAGAGCGAGACCAGAGGGCAAGACCAGAGGGCAAGACCAGAGAGCGAGACCAGAGAGCGAGACCAGAGAGCGAGACCAGAGAGCGAGACCAGAGAGCGAGACCAGAGAGCGAGACCAGAGAGCGAGACCAGAGAGCGAGACCAGAGAGCGAGACCAGAGGGACAGATCAGAGAGAGAAGGACCAGAGAGAATGACAAAAGAATGACATGTGAGCTATCTTGACAATGAGTATGCCGCTGATCAGAGTGAGCAGTTTTTGTGAATTGTGAAAATGTGGATTTATAGACTTCAAAAGCAAAAAAGTTCAGGATGACAAGTCACTCTAAAAACTCCACAAAATCCTCCTTTGTGAAAGCTGAAGGTTCCCGTCTCTGAAGACAGGTCTGTGGGGAATCTCCTTACAGCCCGTGTGGATTCAGACTGCAGTAACGTGGGTGGCCTCTAGTCCACATGGAGCCGTTTAAGCAGGACGTGGCCCCTGAATGAGCTTACCTGACGTAGAGCGACCTCTTGTGGCTGGTTCGCAGAGAGCCGGAGCCCGAGCTGATGCTGCTGTTCATCATCTGCTCCCGGAGCTCGTGGATCTTGGCCTCGAAGCGACTGTACTCTGCACACAGCACAAGAGGGCGCACTCAGGCTGGGGTCCCACACTCTGCTCCCTCAACCACACAAGGAAGTCAGAGTCATGAGCCTTTTGAATCACCGTCTAACTCGTAATGAAAAAGTAAAACATAAAAGTAAAGAAAAAATCTAAACCTGAAATTCTGATATATAAATACACACAAAAGAATTTTAGCAGAGCAGATCGTGAAGGTCGTGAGGGATGAGATTATATAGTAACAGTAGTATTAAGTGGGATCTACAGCCTCAGTCCTGGGTCTACAGCCTCAGTCCTGGGTCTACAGCCTCAGTCCTGGGTCTACAGCCTCAGTCCTGGGTCTACAGCCTCAGTCCTGGGTCTAGAGCCTCAGTCCTGGGTCTAGAGCCTCAGTCCTGGGTCTAGAGCCTCAGTCCTGGGTCTAAAGCCTCAGTCCTGGGTCTACAGCCTCAGTCCTGGGTCTACAGCCTCAGTCCTGGGTCTAGAGCCTCAGTCCTGGGTCTACAGCCTCAGTCCTGGGTCTAGAGCCTCAGTCCTGGGTCTACAGCCTCAGTCCTGGATTGACGGTTTACAACATTTTATGATTATAGAGTAACAGTTTTCAAAGCTGTTTTTTTATTTGACCAATATTAGACTAGGAAATTGTTAAAACATTTTGATCTGAAAGTCTGCCCTCTGGTCTGTACTGGTGCAGAAGTAGAGCTTACCCTCTGGTCTGTACTGGTGCAGAAGTAGAGCTTACCCTCTGGTCTGTACTGGTGCAGAAGTAGAGCTTACCCTCTGGTCTGTACTGGTGCAGAAGTAGAGCTTACCCTCTGGTCTGTACTGGGCCATGATGGTGACGCTCTGTCCTGCGTTCTTCAGAGCAGCTGCAGCCTGTTCGTGTGTGGCCCCCCGCAGGTCCACTCCATTCACCTGTGAGCAGAGCACAGCATGAGCCCACCCTACAGAGACCACCCTACAGCCCCTTTCCCACAGAGACCACCCTACAGCCCCTTTCCCACAGAGACCACCCTACAGCCCCTTTCACACAGAGACCACCCTACAGCCCCTTTCACACAGAGACCACCCTACAGCCCCTTTCCCACAGAGACCACCCTACAGCCCCTTTCACACAGAGACCACCCTACAGCCCCTTTCACACAGAGACCACAACATGAGACCACACTACAGCTTCTTTTATACAGAGACCCAGATACTCGAGTATAAAGAGCTTGTACCGAGACAAGGCGGTCTCCCTTGCGCAGCTCTCCGCACAGATCGGCCGGTCCTCCTGCCAGAATGAAGGAGATGAAAATGCCCTCTCCATCCTCTCCTCCCACAATGTTGAAGCCCAGTCCAGTGGCCCCGCGCTGGAGGACAATCCTACGGGGCTCTCTACACACATACACACACCCAGACACAGGTAAGTGTTATGCTTTGTCTCTTTGATCAGCAGCAGTGACCCACCTGGTGACATCATTATCTCCCACGATGCCTTTGGGTGTGGGGGAGAAGCGTCCCGAGGGTGCGGGAGGCGGCTGCACCAGGAAGTTCTGTCCAATGTGGTTTTCTGTGAGTGGAGGACGGAAGGCTGCAGGACAGACACACGGCCGAGTGAAGCTACAGGTTTAAATAAACGTGTACGCTTGTGTATGTGTGTGCGTGCTTGTAAGTAAGTAAGTAGTAAGTAAGTATTTATTTATATACCGCCTTTTCACTGCAGATCTGAGTCTCAAAGCGGTTTACAATTGTTAATTTTTTGTGCATTAGTCTCTCACTCCACACAGAGACAGGAGCGGGGCCAGTACAGGAGGCACATGCTAGAACTATTGGACATATTTTTAGTGGTAGGGGAAACCGGAGTACCCGGAGGAAACCTACGCAGACACGGGGAGAACATGCAAACTCCACTCAGAAAGGCCCTGGTCCGACCGGGATTCGAACCCAGGACCTTCTTGCTGAGAGGCGAGAGTGCTATCCACTCAGCCACCGTGCCGCCCCTTGTGTATGTGCTTGTGTGCGTGTGTATGTGTATGTGAGTGTCCTTACAGTTGGTGATGTCTGGAGGGCCGTAGTTGTCTGTGATGAACACACTGTTGGGTTTGGAAACCTTCAGATAAACGACGTCTGGAGTGTTCTTCAGAGCAGTGACCGCGAGTTCATGAGACACCTCCTCCAGACACGAGCTGTTCACCTGCGCTCACACACACACACACACAAAAACACAGTAATTTCTACTGGCTTTACTACATTTGTTTTACAAGGTCCTACAGCAGACTGTGATTCTCCCTTTCTTGAGCAGAAACAAGGTTTGTAAACCTCCAGACCCTGAAGCCCTGTGTATACTCGCACGCTGAGGTTGCGGTGGAAATCCTGACGTCACCTGATGTCACATGACCAACACAAGGATCACGCAAGACCCTTGCTCTACGATCCATGCACCCTCGGATATTTCTAACTACACAGACAGCAGCACAGAAGGGCTCTTTGGCTCTTGTCTGATTACTTTCTGGATGGAAGCATGGAGCGGCTGCGGGGGAACATGGACGAGACCTTCGGAGCAGATTGCTTCGTGCCTCGAAAGGGGCCGAAGGAAAAGCAGTTTGGGCTCATGGCTCAGAACATGTATATACTGTACAGTAATGTCTTTTGCACTGTCCCTGTGTCATTGTTTTAATCTGCACTTGTAGCTTATCGCGTCTGTTGCATTCCTCCTACACTTGTAAATAGTTAATGTTTGGTCTCAGATATTTATTTATTTATTTATTTTATTTATTTATTTTATTTTATTATTTATTTACTTATTGTTTTCTGCACAAATACACTTTAATTTCAACTGTGATTCTGTGAATAAAGACAATTCTTGTTGGAAACATAGTTATTATTAGTTATGAAACAATGAGTCTATAGAACTGTCACATTAACCTACGCCTACATACACATTAAATAAGCTCAAAAAGCTTGGTTCACCATTCTTTTGTTCTGAAGAGGAGAAAGTAGCTGTCGTAACTTTATAATGAGACCTTGCTTGGTGTCCCAGACAACTTCTGTGAGATTGCCATCATGTGGTTGTGGTGTGGGATTACAACATTCTCTTCAAAACCACGCAGGGGGGTACGCTCGAGTATACAAGCAACAGTGGCTGCGGAATCATCCACAGGTCCAGCGCAACCGCCAACGCAACCAGTGACGCCCAAGTTTACACATGCCCTGAGCATCTGTGTGTAGACCTCCAGACCCTGAAGATCTGTGTGTAGACCTCCAGACCCTGAGGGTCTCTGAGGTATGTGCTTATTTTGGTGGCGTCCGTGTGAAACCTTTGGGAATGGCTGGACTGGTGAGCACGGGGGCTCCACAGGGGACGGGGAAATGGGAGTGTCTGGTCACGGGTCACGAGGTCAGCCTCACCGCGAGCAACTTGTCTCCAATCTGCAGCCTTCCATCCTTGTGCGCGGCTCCTCCCTCTATGATCTTTGTGACATAGATGCTGTTATCTCCAGGAATGTGCTGGTTCCCCACCCCCCCAGCGATGCTGAAGCCCAGACCTGCACACAGGGAAGAGGGACACACACAGGGACAGGGACAGAGACACACACAGGGAAGACAGACAAGTAACAGACAAGTGTGAAGTGAAAGTAAAATGAAACATGATTCTGTTGTTATTTTGAAAAGTTGGGCCTGCACAAGTCTTCGTACCGCTCGGAGTGCATTAAAGCCGTTAAAACAGTCATAATGACTGCTGCATATTCACATCTTGCCCTGATGATTAAATAGAAGTCTCCTGTGTGTCATCTACTCTCAGTATAAATACAGATGTCCTGTGAGGCCTCGGAGCTGTGGTGAGTGTGTTGGTCACTAAACATTATCATGAGGCCAAGGAGCAACCAGAGAGGTCAGAGGTCAGCGATGAAGTTAATTATAATAATGATGCATTGGTTTTATACATCTGGACACTCAAAGATGCTTCACATGTCATTATACTTTCATTCCAAACACGGTGGTGAAAAACTACTACTGTAGCCACAGCTGCCCTGGGGCACACTGACAGAAGCGAGGCAACCAGTCTGTGCCATTGGCCCATTCGACCACCACCAACCATTCACACACACTAGGGATGTAAATCGGCGACCGTTTAACCGGTGGTTGACCGTCACAGCGTTAACCGGTCAAAGCTGTCGGTTAAAAAAGAGAAAAAGGGGAGAGGGGAGGTCTCTTAATAACGCTATTTTAAGCCCTATTTGCACGGTGTGACGAGCGGGTCTGTATCTAGCTGTGTGCGCCAATGTATTATAAACTCCGGGACGACTCTCACGCCGCACGAGCCACATATGCACACACGCACGCGCGCGCGCACACACACACACACACACACACTTTCCCCCTCTCCATACGTAACATCCACACGCATCATCTCTCCCCTCTGTTACCGTCAAAGTTGCACACTGGCGCGGGTCAGAACTGCATTGGAGCTTACATTTACACACACACACACACATATACATACACACACACATACATACACACACACATACACACACACATACCGGTCTGTCGCGCTCCTCTGTGTCACGGAGCCCAAAGGATTCGCGCAAATACGCGGCTTCAGTCAAACCACATGGAACATGTTTGTGTTTATGGTCCTCGGGATCAGCTCCACACACATCACTTGTATTTAAACTTTTATGAAGACCTGTGAGACGCGGCTCGTCACTCGCTGCTCTGACCATGTGAACGAGCCGTCGTTTGCTGCTAGAAAGTTTTGGTATTAACCCGCAGCACAGCAGAATGGGAAGATTAAAACAGCAGTTCTCTGTGCGCAAAGGTGCCGGAGCTGTTGCGGGTTTGGGCGCCGCTGTCTCAACTCTGATCCAGTAGAACGCAGAGCTGCACTTATGAAAAGTACGCGGCTCGAAATGGCTGTTATTTCAAAGAACGTGGACTATTTTAAACTACGCGGTTAACCGGTTTCAACCGGTTAATGAGGCTCGGTGGTCGGTCATGAAAATTCATAGTTTTTTACATCCCTAACACACACACCAGACTCATTCTAGGCAATGTGGGTGAAGTGTCTTGGACACAATGACAGTGTGGCACTTTACAGCCGCAGCTGCCCCACTGTGGCACCCGGTGTTCCCAGAGGTCTTCCATCACAGTCCTAACTAACTAACAATTCTCTTGTGCGTGGACTTTCAGTTACCTATTCTAAATACATTATTTTGTTTATGTGCTAACATAATTTTGTGCGAGTATGTGTGAGACGGACCTTTGGGTCCCTTGACCAGCTTGAGCTCCATCAGTTTGTCGTTGAGGCTCCTCCTCCTCCTGACGTAGAGCCGCACCACAGAGCCGGCGTCCTTCAGCGCCTCCACAGCCCGACTGTGGCTCACGTCACGAACACACACCTCGTTCACACGCAGGATCACGTCGTTCACTCTGGAACACACACATGCACAAAGGTCAGGACACACCTTGTTCACACGCAGGATCACACCGTTCACTCTGGAACACACACACACGCCAGGACACACACATGCACACAGGTCAGGACACACCTCGTTCACCCGCAGAATCACGTCATTCACTCTGGGAACATACACATGTCAGACAGACAAACACACACACGGAGGACACACACACAGCGCTGACCTGAGCCTGGCGTCCTGGGCCGCGGCTCCTCCTGGGATGACTTTGGTGATGAAGATACTGGGGTCGTCCCCGATGTGAGGGTTGTCGATGCCCCCTGCGATGCTGAAGCCGAGCCCAGAGTTCCCCTGCGCATCAACACACACACTGAGGCTGAGGACCATAGACTGTATTTCAGATGGACAGTGCTAACCCACTAGCTCAATGAATCCCACTAGGAAAGTGCTCATGGTGAAATAGTTTGGCTCCAACTTGCTCTGGCTCCTTTTGACTGAAGAGTTTGTCACACAAAATATTTTGGGCTTAAAAAAATCTGGTTAGTGCCGTCTGTTATCCTGGTTTGTATATTGCCATATTGTCAATGTAAACAATATATAACAGTATGTATATGACAACTGTAACTGCTCATATAAGGAAACTGGGTCCAGCTTATGTTCACATCAGGCTCTTCCATATTAAGGCCAACACTGATGTCACACTCTCTCTGTATTGGACTTACCCGCTCCAGGGAGATTTCCTCGTACTCGTAGTCCGCTTCGGTCCCATTTACCTGCAGAACAAGCCAAACCTCAGCTAGTGCAGACCACAGGTCTAGGCCAGGTCCAGACCAGGTCCGGTCTCCACACCTGGTTTAGGAAAGTCCCAAAACATACCAAGTCTTGTTAAAAACTCACATAAGGCGGAGAGTCCAGAGTGTCGGTGTTGACCACCACCGGAGCTGGATTCGCCTGTAGACAGAACAGAACACACATCTCAGTCCGACACACGCAGCAACAACAAACGGACGATTAAAGAGAAAAAAAAACAACCAGTCCTCGAGTGTGATCAGTTTGTGTTTCTTCCATTTAGATTTCACAAATCATCACCATCTTACACTAACACCACCACTACTGCTGTTATAAATGTAGGTCGCTGTATAGAAAGTGGAGTCCCGCCACTTTTCAAACTTTTGCAGCTTTTTTTGTATCATGTGTATTGTTTTTGTAAAAATTAGACACAGACATAGGCGCACGCACACACACACACAGACACGGTCAATAGCATTGATGTGACCTACATTCACCACAAGAGCAACCCCCCTCCACAGCTGTATGGCTATGGGACAGACTTAAAACATCACATCATGGAGAGTACAGAGAGACACCAGAGCAAGAGACCAGAGCAAAAGACCAGAGCGAGAGACCAGAGCGAGAGACCAGAGCGAGAGACCAGAGCGAGAGACCAGAGCGAGAGACCAGAGCGAGAGACGTTACGTGTGTTACACACCACCATACTTGGGGGGCTGTAATGAGAAGACCACAGGGCCAAACCCAGGTCAGGGGCCAAATAGAAGGGGTTTTCTTGTTGGAAAGTGTATTTTTTTTTTTTTATTACAAGGATAATTCGACAAAGGATTAAGTTTAATACAACATATACTTGGAGATTTTCTGGTAGATTTTGATAAACAAAATGAGTTCAGTGACTCAAGTGAATTTGATATCTAACAACATGTTGGGAAAAAATTATTAAGACATGGTGGTTTTTGTGAGAAAATTTGCGTTAAAATAATGTATAACAGGCCTTGGTCCATATTCACAGATTACACCAATGTTGCCAGTTAATCATATTAACTGAAAAATTGTTCAGGGGCCGCATCTGGCCCTCAGGCCTCACGTTAGACACCTGTGGCCACATACAGCGGTGTGCTCAAAGTTCATTTTTCAAACATTACTCCCCTGAAAACGTTCAAGATTCTCTTTCAACTAAACACTAAATAGAATCAGTTATAAATATGATACATTAGTGCAGCTATGAGAGTAGTTCTACACACACATAGATCCTCCTGTACCTGCGCAGGCAGCCGTGGGACCCAGGCCAGTCCGTCCCGGCGCACACCCACTTTTGCCGTGCTTTTGGTGGGGCTCTTTTTGACAGAGTCGCGCAGAGTGAGGAAGCGGCCGCGTGACCGCCAGGGCACCGTGCAGGACGTGAAGGTGTGCAGGGAGTCGTGCAGGTCTGCGGGAGGCTCCGGGACTCTGTGTGTGGGCGGAATCTGCAGCGGCTGTGGCCTGAGGCGAGGGAGGGAGCGCTCCGAGCCGGGGGCGAGCGTGGCCATGTGGGATCTCATCGCTCTGAGTTCCTGAGTCAAAGCTGAGGCTCCATGTCGTTATTGGAAGATGGTTTGTAATTAAGTTCTTCTTAACTTCGCAGCAGTCTTTGACCATAGACTTGGGATCGCCCCAGAAAAATCCCAAGGAATCTTAATAAATATTTACACACAAAAAAAGTAAATTTATATTTTTCTTTGATAAAAAGATTGCCGAGCTCCAGTTCTATTAACTGAATGACCTACACTATCTGTACACCGGGCCCTGGTTTATCACAGGGGTTATGTGTTCTCAAAATAACCCACAAAAAGTGAAATCCTTGAAGTAGCAGCTAATCACTGCGGTGCACACAAGCTACAAATGGTTGGTTCTGACTTGAAATAAAAAGGTAACTCATTATATACTAGTGATGCGCATGAGAGGCACACTGGGAAAACAGTTCACAATTTTTTTTCTTCAAATTGTCAATATAGTTATTTTCAAACCATTTCCTGTCATCCAAAATTAGACCCCACCTTCAGACATGTCCTAATTATTCACTGAGATGCATTTTTGAAGCATGTTTTGGCAACTTTAAGAGACCAGCCAGATGGCCAGGGTTAGCCACAGTTAGCTAGAGCCACATTAGAACATTAGCAGTTCTAGAATAAAAAGGTGTAAATTAACCATTTATCAAAGTTTACCACACATTTGCACGGGCACCTAACTCATTTTGTTCAAACACATGGAAAAAATAAGATCCATGGATCAGAACCAATTTTGGCCCAGAAATGTCCTGTTTTAGACCAAGTCCTGAAACTCTGGCATCAAGTATCACTAAAGCCGCAGTGGTACAGAAGCTCGGCCACCAGCAGCAAACAGGAACCATTCCAGAGTAACAAAAGAAGAAGCATCAAAGTCCAAACATCCGTGGTTATTCCAGTGGAGGCTCCACAGTGCGATCCAGGTCCAAAAGGCCGTGTGCCACTGATCCCCGCTCTGTCCCAGTGACAGTCTGAGTGGGAGGGGCTCAGAGGGGGCCACGCCACTGATCCGAGAGCATCAATAATGGACGGGCAGACGGTGACAGAGTGCAGGACCACGGCTCACAAACATCATGTGTGAATTTAATGGTAGAAAAGATGTGTAATGAAAACAGTGAACACCTCCCTTTCATTGGAGTTAAGCGGGTTTGAAAGCAGGACTAAAGCAGGTCTGAAAGCAGGACTAAAGCAGGTCTAAGAGCAGGACTAAAGCAGGTCTAAAAAACAGGACTAAAGCAGGTCTAAATCAGGAGTATAAGCAGGTCTAAAAGCAGGACTAAAGCAGGTCTAAAAGCAGGACTAAGTTTTGGAAATGTCTGCATCCTTCATCTGGATCAGTGTCTTTGATTTGAGTGTTATATAACATAATGTTCAGTGGTGAGTTTTCTGCTGACAAACCTGTGGAGTCTCATGACCTCATTAATGAGACAAAAACAAACGACAGGTGAATTAACTCCAACGTTGACTTGTTTCAATGAATGCGGCGCAAGTGAAATGTGGCCCTTGTGACGCTCTGAGTGCAGCCGCTAACCTTGGGAGGGGAGGCACACGTGAGCCTGCCATGGTCGCCTAGCAACAGCTGGCTCTCCACGGAGCGGGATAGCACACACACATGCAGGCACGAACGCACACACACACACACAAGTTTATGTTGGGCTTGTCAACATTGACTTTAAATACTAGATTCATGTATTGGAGTTAAAAACGGCTTCACGTCTGTTGGAGGAACATCGTACGTCTCCTTTAAAGCAACTGGTGTCAGGACCATTGCCCGTGCTCCCCTGCCCGTGCTGCCCTGTCCGCCCGTGCTCCCCTGTCCGTGCTCCCCTGTCCGCCCGTGCTCCCCTGTCCGTGCTCCCCTGTCCGTGCTCCCCTGTCCGCCCGTGCTCCCCTGTCCGCCCGTGCTCCCCTTGATTTAATATGAATAATTATGTTCATGATGGAATTCAATGAAGTGTAGATAAAATAACACCATTCACTGTAATCTTTTGTGACGTGTTAAACTTAAAGGCTAGTTTTCCTTTGATGATAATTCTATGGAATTAGTGGAGCATCTAAAACATCTCTCCTGGTCACTATGGTACCTCTAGTAAGTGTCAAAAGTCAGATTCTAGTTCAAGCTAATTCCTGGAACAATCCGCGGGACTGAAGCAGGACTAAAGCAGGACTAAAGCAGGTCTAGGGCAGGTCTAGGGCAGGTCTAAAGCAGGTCTAAAGCAGGCCTAAAGCAGGACTAAAGAAGGTCTAAAGCAGGCCTAAAGCAGGACTAAAGCAGGACTGAAGCAGGACTGAAGCAGGACTGAAGCAGGACTAAAGCAGGTCTAGGGCAGGTCTAAAGCAGGTCTAAAGCAGGTCTAAAGCAGGCCTGAAGCAAGACTGAAGCAGGACTGAAGCAGGTCTAAAGCAGGTCTAAAGAAGGTCTAAAGCAGGCCTAAAGCAGGACTAAAGAAGGTCTAAAGCAGGCCTAAAGCAGGACTGAAGCAGGACTGAAGCAGGACTGAAGCAGGACTGAAGCAGGACTGAAGCAGGACTGAAGCAGGTCTAAAGCAGGTCTGAAGCAGGACTGAAGCAGGACTGAAGCAGGACTGAAGCAGGTCTAAAGCAGGTCTGAAGCAGGACTGAAGCAGGACTGAAGCAGGACTGAAGCAGGTCTAAAGCAAGACTGAAAAACTGTCTCAAAGTTCCACATCTTTGTCAGCAGATATCTCTCTGGTCTCATTAGTGCCTCAAAGTTGTCTAGAAGTGGTGAAAATATTCAAAAACATGATGATGTTGACCAATAGAAAGGACTTCCAGACGTAAGAACAATAAGGCAGCTTTGTGAATCCCATCACTATCAAATAATGATCAGGGAAACCACCAGGAACATTTCTTTTGAACAAATGCCTTCGAAAAAGGTCGTCTTTCCCATAGACTTGTATCGGCACCTGCTGAGATACAAGTCTACAACATGTGACGACAGCACATCCATCTGAAATTACAACATTCAACCAGATTTGACAATTTAGGCTCGAGAAACGCAGACGTGAACACCGCGGACCGAAGCCCAGAACCCACGGATCGACGCGAGAATGTGTTTTTAAACCCCTACAGTCCACAATCCAATTCATGCTTTTGCTCGGAGTTCCGATGCGAGGGGCTGCGTATGCCTTGTGTATGTCCATGTGCGCGAGCCGAGAGGACTGACGCAGAGGCGGCGTGGGGGGGTCCTTACCGTCACCAGTCTGCGGTGAAGCCTCTTGGTCCTCCGCAGGGTGCCCACAATGCGGCGGCCCATCTTCTTGGCGTACCACACAGAGTTGAGCATGCTGCGCGACTGTGTGAGAGCGCGCCTGTGTGTGTGTGTGTGTGTGTGTGTGTGTGTGTGTGTGTGTGTGTGTGTGTGTGTGTGAGGAGGCGCGTGAGGCTGCTGCACTGAGCGGGGGAAGAGAGAGGGAAGGAGAGGAGGGGGGTCTGTCTCCCCTGTCTGCCTGCCTGCCTACACACACCCCCACCTAACCCCGAGAGGCGATAGAAGCCGTTCGGAGCGTTCAGGCGGGGGATCCTGGCGTTCTGAGGTGGTGCAGAGGCAGAGAGCAAAGGGGGAAGAAACGTATGTCTTCTGTGGTTAAACCAGAGAGACGAGAGAGAGAGAGAGACCTGAAAAAGACCAGAGAGAGACCATAGAGAGAGACCGGAGAGTTTTGAGCTGGTGCAGAGGCTAAACGCAAAGGGGGAAGAAACTGATGTCCTCTGTGATTAAACCAGAAAGAGACCAGAGAAAAACCATAGAGAGAGAGTGGAGAGTTTCTGAGGTGGTGCAGAGGCTGAGAGAAGAGTCTTCTATGACTAAACATTTGGGAATTTCGTGACTGAGCAGAGGTGGAAATTAAGTCTTTTAAATTAAAAGTCTCATGCTAATAAAATCCTTTTTTCTTGTTCCGGACTCGCAAAAATGTTTGGTGCCACTAGTTTCCACATGCATGCATTGTTAGCCTGTCACATCTGTAGTTTACCTTTTTCAGAGAGGGACCAGCGAGAGAGAGGGACCAGCGAGAGAGAGAGACCAGAGAGGCCAGGGAGAGAGATCAGAGAGACCAGAGAGAGACTAGAGAGAGAGACCAGAGAGAGACTAGAGAGAGAGACCAGAGAGGCCAGGGAGAGAGATCAGAGAGTGAGGCTTGAGAGAGACCAGAAAGAAAGAGACCAAAGAGAGAGACCAGAGAGACCAAAGAGAGCAGAGAGAGATCCTATCACATGTATCTTTTAGCATTTTCAGACAGAATAGTGAAAAAGTGGACCACCATCACTCACTGTGAGTCAAACAGTGACTCACATGGCTCTTTCGTATACAGAAGACGACATATTTCCTGATCAGATGAAGACAGAATGCCGTGGACTCTTTCTGTTGGACAAACCTCATGTGTTATTTATGCGGGAAAACTTGGAAGAAATACTTCAAGTTGGGGAACCTCTAAGTATTTTTTCCTGTTATCAGAACCTACTACTACCCAAATATCTTTAAAATGCCTAGTTACTTTGCATATGGCGAGACGACATCAAATTGAAAGTGACCATGCTTCTATGAAATTGTGGTTAGCCGTGCTTCTAACTTCAGATCAGCCTTCAGCTAACATGTCATACCATCAGGAGATTTGCGCTGTCCAAGAGAGGAGCAGGTATGGGCTGAAGCTGTGACAACAAAAGCTAAAGCTCTGGTGCAGATGTGGCTGAAGCTGAGAGAACCTTTCGTCTAATCAAGAAAGTCCCACTGAGATTTCAGAAAGGAGGGGCAGAAGTGGGGCCAGGGAGGGGTTTAGCTAGCGGAAACCGGAGAAGACACTGGTAGAACGTTCAAGTCCACACAGAAAGCGCGACAGAACGGCACGAAGCTCAAGAGGTCACAGTATCATACACAGAGGTCAGAATTGCACCGTGTTCCCCTTAACTGAGCTAAACCAGACCAAAGTGAACCAAACCACAGCAAAGAATATTTAGACAGGTGGAGGAGGCGCAGTTTATGATTGTTAAAGCAGGACTTACAAGGTCTAAAGCGGGTCTAAAGCAGGTCTAAAGCAAGTCTAAAGCAGGTCTAAAGCAGGTCTAAAGCAAGTCTAAAGCAAGTCTAAAGCAGGTCTAAAGCAGGTCTAAAGCAGGTCTAAAGCAAGTCTAAAGCAAGTCTAAAGCAAGTCTAAAGCAAGTCTAAAGCAAGTCTAAAGCAGGTCTAAAGCAGGTCTAAAGCAAGTCTAAAGCAGGTCTAAGGCAAGTGTAAAGCAAGTCTAAAAGAGGACTAAAGCAGGTCTAAAAAAGGACTAAGACAGGACTCAAGCAGGTCTAAAATAAAGGACTAAAACAGGACTAAAACAGGTTAAAAAAACATGTCTAAAACAGGACTAAACACAGGTCTAAAACAGGACTAAAGCAGGAGTAAAGCAGGAGTAAAAGCAGGAGTAAAAGCAGGCCTATGGGCCGGTGCAGGGGGTGGGGGTGTTTTAGCTGGAGGCTGAAGAGGGGGAGGAGGGTGAGGGGGGAGTGGTTTACCTGGATGGGGGGATAGGGGTTGGAGGAGCAGGAGGGCAGAGGGCTGTCGTGAGGCTGGGGGAACAGGGTGGAGGCTGCAGAGGCCGAGCTCTCCGACGGCGAGTCCAGAGCAGAGACGACCTACAGGGGGAGCACACTTCAGGCTACAGCCCCCGTCGCCGTGACGACACAAGGGCTGCAGGGGTCACCGCCACCAGGACCAACCCCATCACAGAAGGAGTCAGTTGGACTTCATTGTGCACTGTGTCTTTTTTACCCAAAGGAGCCGCTTGTATTTATAGAGATTCCTTCAGGGTCTAAAGCTCGGGTACGTAACTTTCTAACTACATAATCTATCATGAAATCCTCGCTCTCAAAAAGTTTTGCTTCTATGACTAGTTTTACCTGGTATTGGTCAGGTCCTGGCTGGGTCTTGATCTGGTCCAAGTCTTGGTCTATGTATCTTTGGCCTCTTTAAATAGCTTTTTCAGACAGAAAAAAAGAGGGCCACTCTTACTCAGCCAATCAGCTCTGAGCCCAAAGTGGGGATTGCCGGGGTCTTTCTCAAGTATGTAAAATATAAGTTAGACAGCATGTTGTAGCCTGGGGTTTTCAACATTTTACTTTCAAAACAACTGATTTTTTTTGGTACAAAATAATAATTTAAAAATATATGTAGCCAAGCTTTAAGTCAATACAGCTAGCACTACATTACTTCTGAGTTTCACACACTCTTTAATCTATGAGGAAAGAGGAGTCAAACTTGTGGAACTTTCAGGACACACACACACCATGTAAAGCATGCAGATGTTATAAGCACACAGCGGTTAGACATAAGACACAACAGAAGGTTTAACAGTTCATCAAACTGGTCAGCAGGGGGCGACACACAGCTTATATAAGCAGGAGCCTCTCTAAAGCCAGTGGAACTAGTGGAAAGCACTTTGATGGAGAAATGAACGCAGTGGAAAAACCCAAAATGCTTAAATGCTGAATATGAGAAGATTTGAGCAAAGCAGTTAGTGGAAGCACAATTGTCTTATTTGCCACCTGACCCTGAACACTCTGAAATACTCTTTGGCACCACTTGAATTTCTCACCAGTAGACTTTAAAAATGTTGTCCACAATATGAAAAGCAACCGACCTTCAAAGTTAATTCATAAAACATAATACATACAGACACACACACAATTTTGAACTTTAGTTGGCAGCATAAACAAATGGACAATGCTAACCTGCTAACTCAATGCTAACCCACAAAGAAGGGGAAGTGCTTATGGACAAAGTTTGGCTCCAACTCTCTTTGGCTCCTATTGACCAATCAGATGCCTTCATTCAAAGCTTGCCTTAACAACCGCCTTAGCAACACATCTGTTCTTGTTACCACGTGAAGTTAACAGTCGGGAAATAATGTTTGATGCTGACACTATGATGATGTCGCACTCAGTCAGTCCACTTCTAATCAGAATCATTTTTATTGTCTTGTAAGTAACAGGAAGTCACAGACTACAAAATTGCTTTGGCTCTCGGTGCTAACAAGTCAAAAGTAGAGAAGTAGAGAATGGAGTAAGAATCAACCTACATTAATAAATTATAGTTAATAAAGTTAAAATGATTTCAATTATTACTCTGGCTGTCAAAATCATTGCGTTAATGCACGTTAATTACATTTTTCATTAATTGCGTTTAAAAAAAATTGATGCTTTTAACGCATGTCCGAATGACCCGCCCATGTATCCCATAATATCACTCAGAATGCCGCGGACACGTGTGTCTGAGATGGCAACAGAGCAGGTAGTCCCTCTGGGAATTAAAGTTTTAAAAGAATACGCGCGTGACAGCGGGGCACTTGCTGTTGTTTGCTGTATGAACTAAAGTCCGCATCCTCCGTGGCCGCAGCGTTCTGACCTGGGGCAGCTGCGGCTGTTCTAGACAGCGGTTCTTTCCTCCAGCGGCTGTGAGCCGCTAACAACAACACGGCGAATGGCGCCGCGGTAACGTGGTCATAGAAGACCATACACTCACAGAACTGTTCTCTGCATGTTGTGTGTGTGTCTTTGCATAGCCTGTGCACGCATCTGCGTGCTGAAGCTGAACTATGTTGTGTCTCCTCCTGAAACGCAACTAAACCCGCTAAATTAAATTTGGGGTACGTGCATTTTCCCTTTCATTAACAGCTCATGTGCACCCTGCACATGGACTATTCCAACCACTCCCCTCAGGCAGGAGGCTGCGGTCCATCAGGACTAGAACCTCCCGCCACAAGAACAGTTTCTTCCCCTCTGCTGTTGGACTCTTGAACACTTCTTAACCTGTCCCCCCGCCCTTTATAAAGTCACTTTACTGCCCATCGTACGTCACTTTACTTCACTGTACTGCTGTCACCTTACATTGTGTGCACCATGTGCACTTGTATATTGTAAATAGTAATTGTATATTATATTTAAATGTATTCCTTAGAAGTGTTTTTTATTCTTTATTTGTATTATCTCTCTCTGACTGTTGCACTGAGCCAAAGCAATTTCCAAGTCTGACTTCCTGTTACTTACGTGGCAATAAAAATGATTCTGATTCTGATTACAATGCGATTAATCAACTAAAACATTTTAATTGTTTGACCGTCCTAATTATTACTATATACAATATGCACACAAAAGACATTATTCAGTGCAGTAGAGGGACGGCAGTAAAGTAATACACAGTCTATGGAGTGACAGGAGTGAGCAAACCTTTTGGCTCGGGCCAAAATGGTGTCTAATATTTGACAGAGGGGGTGGCACAGGACTTTTTGAGCCAGCATTGTATGCAGAGCACAAACCTTATAGTGGCACAAGTAAATAAATGTACAACCGTACCCCTTTTAAACGTCCAGAATATCCCGAATCCAGGAAGTACGTTTGTCTCAAAGAATACTCAAGATGCTGCATTTACACACTGTTTGGCACAATACTGGAAGGATACACTTACTGTGATTGCATCTGTTTTTAATACAATTGAAAGCATAAAATAAAATAAAAATCATATTCTATTGAAAGAGCATGATATATATTACTTTCAACCTTTGCCTAACAAAGTATTCAATCTCAATCTCCTCATTTTCTGTTCCAATGCGTACTTAATCACAACATGCACTTCCAAAATGTCCACATTCTTTTCTCATACCATAGTAGTCCATCTTAAACTCCTCGCAACCCTTTCTCAACCCGATACAGAAAAACTGGTCCATGCATTTTTTCTCCTCCAGACTGGACGACTCCTTGTCGGGATCTCTGGAGCCTGCAAATCCAGATCCAGACCTGTGCGGCTTGGGTCCTGGCGAGGAGGCGCAAAAATATGACCGCATCACCCCTGTCCTCTGCTCCATACATGCAAACTCTGCTACGGACTCGCCTCTGCCTACTACTCACTCTCTCACGCCACACACCACCTCACGCCGCCTCCGCTTGATGTCAAAATTCTCCACCCGCTGCCTCCACTATCCCAGGTCAAAGGTCTCCACCCACTGCCTCCACCCGCCGGGGTCTCTGCTCTTCATCATGGGAGACAGGACATTAGGTCGCAGCTCCACGCTTCTGGAATGTCCTCCCAGAAACTTCAGAGTGAGTGTGTGTCTTTAAAAGAGGCAGAAAAACCTTCCAGTGTAAGCAGCCCCATTAGGACTTTTATTTAACTTTAAACCCATTTTAGTTGTGGCAATTCTCAAGATAAATCTGAGGTATTATCTTGCATCAGTGAAGGGTTTTTTTGATGTTCAAGAAGCTGAACGTCTGCTGTCGTTTGGTTGAGCCAAACAACAACATATTCTGCGCCGATGTCCGGAGGTTTGGAAACGTGGCTTACTCAAAAAAGTTGCCTTGGTACTTTATTTTTTTCAATTCAAGATATCATCTGCCAAGTTTGTAAATCACCTGCCAACCTTTTTGCAGTAGCCGTCCATTCTTGCGTTGACAGCATGATAGCATAATTAGCATGCGTGCATTGGTAGCATTCTAGAATAGTTTGCATGCGTGCATAGTTAGCATGGGTGCATAGTTAGCATGGGTGCATAGTTAGCATGGGTGCATAGTTAGCATACTTGGTGGTAAAATGAAGCGGACATTCTACTCTTTGAACAGCTTCCTAGTAGATAACACATACAGAGTGAAAATATTTTGTTGTCCACTTTATCAAACACTTGGCGCTCATTGTAACAGAAGGGATCGAACGGTCACTGCGCAATCTTTTGGAGACATAGAAGTCACAAGATGAAATGAATGATTGATAAATGATTTAGATTCATCTTTATGGGACAAGTTTGGCAGGCCGTATTAAAAAGCCATGTCTGGTCTGGACTAATCTGGACTGGATTAGTCTGGTCTGGAACAGTCTGTGGAGGTGTACCTTGATTGGGGAGATGTGTGCGTGTGCCACATATCCGTGCACGCTCTCCACTTGGGAAAGGCTCTTCTGGGACACCTGCACCAGCTCCGGACTGTCCTCAGGGAGGGGGGGCGGGCTGGGGTCCTGAGGCGTGTCCTCCTCCTGTTGCCCGTACTTCTGTACCGGAAAAACACGAAACACGTCAGACACAACAAGAACTTGAGTTTTTCACATGTTCCGACAATGTCCCTTGTCAAAAAAACAAAACACCTGGAGTCGTGTTTAGCTCCATCCACGCTATTATCAAGAACTGCTGGCACACACATGTAGCTCCGCCCCTTCTGTCTTAATGTTCCCATCTCAGTCCTGTCAGTGGGATGTCATTGTACCACTATGACGTCAACAATTTTCGGCCAGAGAGCGAGACCAGAGAGCGAGACCAGAGAGCGAGACCAGAGAGCGAGACCAGAGAGCGAGACCAGAGAGCGAGACCAGAGAGCGAGACCAGAGAGAGAGACCAGAGAGCGAGACCAGAGAGCGAGACCAGAGAGCGAGACCAGAGAGCGAGACCAGAGAGCGAGACCAGAGAGCGAGACCAGAGAGCGAGACCAGAGAGCGAGACCAGAGAGCGAGACCAGAGAGCGAGACCAGAGAGCGAGACCAGAGATTTTCTCCGTGTTACAACACTGTTCCACTGTTTTTAGATCCATCCGCGCTATAGCACAAACATGTCCCTTCTGTCTAAAAGCTCATGTCTCAGTCCTGTATTAGTGTGATGTCATTGTACCACTATGACATCACCCTCAGAGTGGTTTTGTCGTTTTCTGCCTTAACTATCTTAAAAAACAGAAACATACAAACGGTAACTTTCAAATGAAAATAAAAAGAGCTCCTCTGGTGGTTTCACCTAAAACATGACAAATAAGTAAATTGTCTCTTTTTTGTAATGGCCAATAATAATGCGTAATTTGACTTCTCTACATTTGAGTGTGTGTGCAGTACATACATGAAAAACATACATTTGAAATGTTATCTTAGTTGGACTACAATGTGGTTACATAACACCCTGTGTGTGTGTAGGTGTGTGTATGTGTGCGTGTATGTGTGCGTCTGTATGTGTGTGTAGGAGGATGGCCCTCGCCTCCGTCTGGAAGCTGCTGTAGCGGCTAAAAATAGAACTGAGAGTGGGGGACCGTCCACAGAGGACTGAAGCCGGAGAACAGTCCTGGGTCTACAGCCTCAGTCCTGGGTCTTCAGCCTCAGTCCTGGGTCTTCAGCCTCAGTCCTGGGTCTTCAGCCTCAGTCCTGGGTCTTCAGCCTCAGTCCTGGGTCTTCAGCCTCAGTCCTTGGTCTTCAGCCTCAGTCCTTGGTCTTCAGCCTCAGTCCTTGGTCTTCAGCCTCAGTCCTTGGTCTTCAGCCTCAGTCCTTGGTCTTCAGCCTCAGTCCTTGGTCTTCAGCCTCAGTCCTTGGTCTTCAGCCTCAGTCCTGGGTCTACAGGCCGTTTTACCATCAGAGCGTGACTAAACAGAGAGCATTGGTAGCAACAACAATTATAACTGAAATTTCTTCAGCTTTAAGCCAAAATGCCTGCACGACAATTACCAAACTTAAGTAAAACCGTGGTGGTGGCGCCTGGCTGTGATCAGAGGACACAAGAGGGGGAGAATAGATTGTGTTCACATGACACACACACAAGAATGAGACCAGTGGAACTTTAACACACAAGCGTCTAAAGCAGGGGTGTCAAACCGGTCCTCAGTGGGCCGGTGTGGCGGCAGGTTTTAATTCCAACTCAAGCTGTTTTAACCTGAGGATTTGAGTTCCTTTCCGGAACCAGTTTGACACACCTGGTCTTAAGTAACATTTCTGGACATTGGTCCTCCCTCTGGCTCCTTTGTGTTTGTTATTATTGCATTTAAAGTGTTTGAACTGTTTTATTCTCTGTTGAGAAGTTGATCCACAACTTTGTAAAGTCCCCCGAGACGACTGCTGTTGTGATTCAGGGCGATACATAAAAATGTTGAATAGAATTGGTAGTTTTTGTTTCCTGAGGATTGTTTCAGGAAATACAGAGAAATGGATGAATCTGACTTTTGACACTCACCAATGTTACCGTAGGAACCTATTTAAAAGTTCTCCCAAAAGAGCTCCCACACACCGACATAAGCACAAAACTTTAATCAATCACAGAGCACCAACCCTATACAGAACCATGACTGGACCATGACAAAACCCCCCCCCCTCACCTTACATCCGAACATGAGCGACACGGTGCTGTTGGTGCAGGCCAGCTTGCAGTGGCACAGCAGCGGGCACATGCAGGTGAGCGGCCGGGGGCTCTCCGGGGGGCTGTTCTGGCTCTTCTGCCGTTCTCCCTCCTCCCCTGGGCGCCCCCCCTCCCCTTGCCCTCCTCTGCCTCCCCTCACCATCCGCCCTCATTCCATGGTCGCGCTGTGGCAGTGTTCCCCCCCGCGAACAGCAGCAGCCTCGCACTCCTGTGTCGGTGGCGGCGGCTCGAGTCGAAGACGCTGCCCCTCCCCCCTGCTGCCGCTGCGTGGGGGTTGCCAGGTTTGAGGGGTTATCTTTTTTTTGAAATGATAACAGCAGCAAATATGTGATCGCATGTGTTATACCAGAGAGAGAGATCAGAGAGAGACCAGAAAAAGAGATAGGTAAGACACCAAAGAGAGACCCCAGAGGGATCAGAGTGAGATCCAGAGAGACACCCCAGAGGGACCAGAGCAAGACCAGAGAGAGACCAGAGAGAGAGAGACCAGAGAGAGAGACCAGAGAGCGAGACCAGAGAGCGAGACCAGAGAGCGAGACCAGAGAGCGAGACCAGAGAGCGAGACCAGAGAGCGAGACCAGAGAGCGAGACCAGAGAGCGAGACCAGAGAGCGAGACCAGAGAGCGAGACCAGAGAGCGAGACCAGAGAGCGAGACCAGAGAGCGAGACCAGAGAGCGAGACCAGAGAGCGAGACCAGAGAGCGAGACCAGGAGAGCGAGACCAGAGAGCGAGACCAGAGAGCGAGACCAGAGAGCGAGACCAGAGAGCGAGACCAGAGAGCGGGACCAGAGAGCGAGACCAGAGAGCGGGACCAGAGAGTGGGACCAGAGAGCGGGACCAGAGAGCGAGACCAGAGAGCGAGACCAGAGATCACTATGCTTTCACTTTGTGGTGGTTGATCATGAAAATAAACTTTTGGTCGGGATAAATTGTGAAAAAGTTAATGGGTATAAAATCCTTATCAAGGCACTGTAGCCATTCTTCTTTTTTGATACATTTTGCCCATGAATTATATACAGATTTCCAATTGCAAAGTGCTCATGGACAAAATGTTGCTCCATATCACTGTGGCTCCTGTTGACTTCCATGTAAAAGAAACTCTTCGAGCTCAGTATGTGTCACACTCCCCCATTTTGGGCTTAAATCTGTGGTTTATCACTGTCCATAATTTATACTGTGATATTGTCTTTGCAAATCCAGATATGAGCCATAAAAAGGACTGACCAACCAGGGAAACTCCAGCTTGCCTTAGCAACACGTCTGTCCCTGTTACAGCACAAACTTTGCAGAACAAAGGCCCATATTAAGAAATTGAACAAAAACACTATGGTGATGTCACACTTGGTCAGTCCACTCCTAAAATGTATATTCTGTGTCTGTACAAAGAAAAAAGCGGTGAATGATGATTGCTTGTTTTCTCCCGCATTAAAATGGTCAAACATATTGGCAGAGCTAAAGAGAGCGTTTAGGAGGCAGCTGGAACGAAGCCAACAGTGGATTTTAAAGACAAAACCTTTAAACATACATTTGATGAATTAGAATTATGTTGAATATTTTTATAAATGAGAGAAAAGGCTGAAGACTCAAACCTGGCAACGCAGGGCCGGGTATTTATAGCCCGCTTTCTGCCTTAGCGCCGCCTCGGTTTGTTTTGGGTCTGGTTAAGTTTGTGTGTGTATATGTGTGCATGAGTGTATCTGCGAGTTTGAGTATACATGTGTGTACGTGGGCTCATAAATCAGTGTGTGCGTGTACATGTGTAGAAACAAAATAAGTGTGTGTGTCAGATCCTGAGCACACCACAGATTCTCTCCGTGGTCAGATCAGCAGACGAGAGCAGATCCTTTTGTTTAAAAATTATTAATATTAAAAGCAACAAATAGTACAATCCCTCTCGCCCTCTCGCCGGCCCCTCGCCGGCCTCTCGCCGGCCCCTCGCCGGCCCCTCGCCGGCCTCTCGCCGGCCCCTCGCCGGCCCCTCTCCGGCCTCGCGCCCCTCTCCGGCCTCTCGCCCCTCTCCGGCCTCTCGCCCCTCTCCGGCCTCTCGCCCCTCTCCGGCCTCGCGCCCCTCTCCGGCCTCGCGCCCCTCTCCGGCCTCGCGCCCCTCTCCGGCCTCGCGCCCCTCTCCGGCCTCGCGCCCCTCTCCGGCCTCTCGCCCCTCTCCGGCCTCTCGCCCCTCTCCGGCCTCTCGCCCCTCTCCGGCCTCTCGCCCCTCTCCGGCCTCGCGCCCCTCTCCGGCCTCTCGCCCCTCTCCGGCCTCTCGCTCCTCTCTGGCCTCCAATTCAGTTAATTTTCCACGTATTTTGGTCACTGATTTTTGACCACACGACAAATGGACCAACACTGAATGTTTGTGAGCTGCACATTTTGAGTGGCTGAATAAAACGGGCCAAACACTGGCCACACTCGGGGACTAAAACTGTCAACATGGTGTTCATTTGCCGTTTTTGTAAGAGGCCATATTTGGAATAGTTTTAATCCTGTACCTGAGTCCTAAAATATGACTTTAAAAACGAATACAAATATGAACACATTATAAATAATAATACTAGAGATACTAGTATTTCTAGTTTCATTGAATCTAGAGATACTCTTGACTGGCAGAAATAGTTTACAAAAAAAGTTTAAGAGTGCTGATAAAGATTGGTTGATGCTAATGCTAATGTGCTAAATGGATTATAGTTAGCAAAAAACGGAACATTTTCAATGTAATATCATAATGTAAGCAGTTCAAGTCTGGTTAGTTTGGGAGACACGTGTGTGCAGGTAGCGCCCTCTGGTGGATACTGCCTACAAATGCAAACACATGAAACCACAACTGTATTCTGAAACGGACTATTCTCTGGTCTGTCTGATTTCTTTCTCTCTAATAAGATTTCTGTCTCTCTCTTTACGGTCTCTCTTTATAGTCTCTCCCTCTTTATCAATTCACTCTCTCTGGTCTCTCTTTTTATGGTCTCCCTCTGCCGCCTCCCTCTGCCGCCTCCCTCTCTTAAAGTAAGTACCGGATGTTTACCAGTTTGGAGAGACAATACGACAACATAGAAGTCTGATAATACACATGCTTAAGACTTGTAGGGCAAGGCAAGTTCATTCATATAGCACCATTCATACAAATGTTTTGGGCACCAGAAGAAGAGGCTGCTGGTTCCATTTTGACAGTGTGCGTGATGTTGACCAGTTCTAAAAGTTGCCATTTTCAAAGCAAAGATGGAAATGTTCAATAGATCGTCTTTCAAGTTCAGATCATGACGTAACCACAACCAGACCCACACTCTCCTTCACCAAGTTGCACCAGAACCACCTCCCCAGGGCTGCACGTAACATCACAACTAAAGATGGAATTTTTTTGGTCACAATTGGCATATAGCAAAGACTGCAATTATTTAGGTTTGTAGCAAAGAAGGTCTCTCTCTTTCTGGTCTATCTGGTCTCTCTCTTCTCTGGTCTCTCTCTCTCTCTGAGGTCTCTCTCTGTAACTTGAAAATCTAGAAATAAGGTAGATTGAGATTTTGTCCAAAGTCGTGCAGCCCAGACCTCACCACACACAAACCCACCTCCAAAAAAAAGCATCAGGTCTGTTCCACATGGTTCCAGGAGAGTCGACCAGAGGAGGGGCGACCGATGGCCAAACCTCTTCACTACCTCAAGTCACAAACAGTATGTGTTTTGTTCCTATATAGATCTGTTACTTATTATTGTCTGGAAAAGGGAGCAAAGAAACATTTTATAGTTTAGTCCTGAATCTCGGACTCCTGCCTACAACATTATACGTTTCACACAGACCAGAACCAGTGCCTGCCAAGACTAGTCCCCATGGAACCAGCCTCAGTGCCCATGGAACCAGCTCAAGTCCCCATGGAACCAGCCCCAGTCCCCATGGAATGAGACCCACCCAGAGCCGACATGAACCCAAAGCAGATGTCCCTTGCAGCCCGACGTGTGGCACACGTGTTCTCTGAAGTGGCTTTAAAGGACGCATATCATGCTAAAATAATACATAAAGCAACCAAATTCTCTGGCCTCTCTCTGGCCTCTCTCTGGCCTCTCTCTGGCCTCTCTCTGGCCTCTCTCTGGCCTCTCTCTGGCCTCTCTCTGGCCTCTCTCTGGCCTCTCTCTGGCCTCTCTCTGGCCTCTCTCTGGCCTCTCTCTGGCCTCTCTCTGGCCTCTCTCTGGCCTCTCTCTGGGGTCTCTCTGGGGTCTCTCTGGGGTCTCTCTGGGGTCTCTCTGGGGTCTCTCTGGGGTCTCTCTGGGGTCTCTCCCTCTCTGATTTCCCCATTGTGGACCTATTAAAGCATCTCTTAATCTGATTTCTTAAGCTTGTATAAGAGAATAGCTGCACAATATATATTTGAAAATGATTTTTGTACTTTCGCCAATCACAGGCGCCTTAAACTGAATACTTCCACTTCAGAGCCACATAGCCACACGGGGGGCGCCCCGCCTCCACATGACGCACATGCTCAGTACTCACCAGCGAGCGCAGGATCTCCTGTAGGAGCGAACAGTTCTGTGTGCGCCAGCGTTCAGGACAGGGGAGAAAACAGTCAAAGCCAAGTCCAGATTTGAGACCACGAGTACTCTGGCCAGTCTGTCTCACTCTGCGGTCTCTCTCTCTTGGTCTCTCTCTCTTGGTCTCTCTCTCTTGGTCTCTCTCTCTTGGTCTCTCTCTCTTGGTCTCTCTCTCTGGTAAGTAAGTTTTTAGTAAGTAAGTTTTTATTTATATACCGCCTTTTCACTGCAGATCTGAGTCTCAAAGCGGTTTACAATTGTTAATTTTGGGCATTTGTCTCTCACTCCACACAGAGATGGGAGCGGGGTCGCCAGTACAGGAAGAACATGCCAGAACTATTGGACATATTTTTAGTGGTAGGGGAAACCGGAGTACCCGGAGGAAACCTACGCAGACACGGGGAGAACATGCAAACTCCACTCAGAAAGGCCCTGGTCCGACCGGGATTCGAACCCAGGACCTTCTTGCTGAGAGGCGAGAGTGCTATCCACTCAGCCACCGTGCCGCCTCTGGTCTCTCTCTCTGGTCTCTCTCTCTCTGGTCTCTCTCTCTCTGGTCTCTCTCTCTGGTCTCTCTCTCTGGTCTCTCTCTCTGGTCTCTCTCTCTGGTCTCTCTCTCTGGTCTCTCTCTCTGGTCTCTCTCTCTGGTCTCTCTCTCTGGTCTCTCTCTCTGGTCTCTCTCTCTGGTCTCTCTCTCTCTCTTGGTCCCTCAGGAGAGCGCCCCCTGTGGCGTACTGACCCTCGCACAGTGATGTGTGAACGCCTCTCATCTATTTTAATTCGCTCTATTTTTATCAGTGACTGAGCCGCTCCTCTCGCTGCAGAAGGAGATTGTCAAAAATAAGCTATTTTTAAAAAACCTTTGAACGAAGCTAAATCGTCCCATGGAGCAGAGTTTCAACATTTTTACACCAATACAACACTGTTGATTATATTATTATTTTAATGTTGTTAATACTCTAATTAGGTGAGATTAATGATTTAATAATGAATACATTAAATAAAACTCATCAATATAAAAATATAAGAAAATGTTGTATTGTTGTGAAAAAATTAGGCAAAAGCCCTGATTTTAGCCTCAGATCCACAGTCACTCTACATGGGTCTCCACATGGGTTTTTGAGTGGTCCTTTGCTAAACCAGGAGGGTCTAAGGACATTTAGTAGCAAATCTGGACAGTGGTCATCCCGCTCCCTATGGACCCTCCTACTGTATGTGTTTGTTAATATTGCATTTCCGGCGTTTAACCGTTTGATTCTCTGATCTGCTGTTGGTCAATCCACAACTTTGTAAAGTCCAGACTGTTGTTGTGATTTGTGGCGATACACAAATGAAAGTCTCCAGAATCGGGGTTCGTATGAAGCTCTCAAAGACCCCCACACAACTCAATGCAATTATACAGTTGACCACGTTACTCATCATGCTTGGTTCTTGTGGATTGTGTGTCTTTGAAGAAGCCCGTAGCACAGTTACTTCTACCTGGAGGCTGGTGCTCAGAGCCAGAGTGTCCGAGGTGACGCTGCTGTCCCACAAGTGCACAGGGGCCACCGGCTCCGGATCCTTCCCGCTCTCGGCCCATCGCTGGCTGTCCAAGAGAGTCACTTCATAAAACTCCTGGATATCTGTGGACCAGGAACAGTATGTGAGGAGCTGACAGAGTGTGACATCACCACAGATAAGCTAGCCGGAGAAAATTTGAGCTAGCAAGTTAGCATTGTCTATTTGTATACAGTCTATGATGTGGACACACCAACTGTTAGTTCTGTCTCCAGTTCCGATTGGAAACTCTGGTCTCTCTCTCTGGTCTCTCTCTCTGGTCTCTCTCTCTGGTCTCTCTCTCTGGTCTCTCTCTCTGGTCTCTCTCTCTGGTCTCTCTCTCTGGTCTCTCTCTCTGGTCTCTCTCTCTGGTCTCTCTCTCTGGTCTCTCTCTCTGGTCTCTCTCTCTGGTCTCTCTCTCTGGTCTCTCTCTCTGGTCTCTCTCTCTGGTCTCTCTCTGGTCTCTCTCTGGTCTCTCTCTCTGGTCTCTCTCTGGTCTCTCTCTGGTCTCTCTCTGGTCTCTCTCTGGTCTCTCTCTGGTCTCTCTCTGGTCTCTCTCTGGTCTCTCTCTGGTCTCTCTCTGGTCTCTCTCTGGTCTCTCTCTGGTCTCTCTCTGGTCTCTCTCTGGTCTCTCTCTGGTCTCTCTCTGGTCTCTCTCTGGTCTCTCTCTGGTCTCTCTCTGGTCTCTCACAGACCAAACACAAAGTGGGAAAGAGCATTTAGCCATCTGTTTGAGAGCTTGGATTACACTGGATTACAACATTTGACTGGAGCCAGATTGACAAGAATAAATCTAGAATCAGCCAATGTCATATTTAACACAGCAAGAAGCGAAAGGTCAATTTTTGTGTTTGGATCAGAAGAAGTGGTGAAGAGGCGGCGTTCATGTGACATCACAAAGAGGCATAACTCTCTGCTCTCCTGCTCTCCCTGCTCTGCGCGCTCTCTCTGCGCGCTCTCTCTGCGCGCTCTCTCTGCGCGCTCTCTCTGCGCGCTCTCTCTGCGCTCTCTCTCTGCGCTCTCTCTCTGCGCTCTCTCTCTGCGCTCTCTCTCTGCGCTCTCTCTCTGCGCTCTCTCTCTGCGCTCTCTCTCTGCGCTCTCTGCGCTCTCTCTGCGCTCTCTCTCTGCTCTCTCTGCTCTCTCTCTGCTCTCTCCCTCCCTCTCTGGTCTCTCTCTCCAATGCAAATTTCACAAGATGTCTTTGACATATGACGGCGATTAGTCGATGTAGTGAGAACTGGCCTTCACAAAATGAACAAACGCAAGACAAAATATTCAAGTGATCTGGCTTTTTCTAGAGGTCGAGGGGCACAGGAGAGATTAGTTGCTCCAAGACCCTAACTGTCAAGTGCAGTGCCGTCTCAATAGCACTTGCTCAAAAGACAGGCTTTAATCTGTTGCCAAAAACACTCAGGCACTTGTTCCCTGACTTGCTCCGGTCGCTCATACACCAAACTTTTCATACACAGTCGCTCTTCCAGCGCGCGCTCCTACACACACAGACACACTCACATTACCCACTGACCTGCTGCACATTGGAGATAGACACATCCTTTAACATTAGGTCATACGGTGACTGCACTCGGGTCTCTTGTTTGGACCAAAACCTGGGTTGGCTCTTTTGCTGTGACGTAAATTGTCATATGTAATGTTTGCCATGTCTTCATTGTGTCTGTAACTGTAAAGCTGAGAGTAAAACTGCTAGATTACTCTGGTGCACAAAGATAAAGTCCTGTTCAACAATGTTCCATCGTCAGCAGTTTTTCACCCACACCCCAAAGCAAAGGAGAGGGGTTCAAACTGTACATCTCGCATTGTTTGCATAATTTGAGGTAAGTCGTAACAACATGATATCCATGCTACGTGCTAGAGTTAAACTTTTGTGCATTTAACAAAAAGGTTTGTCTTAGCCCTGGTTTAATAATAATGCAGAGGTTTTATATAGCGCATTTTTGGACACTCAAAGACGCTTGACACGTCATTCTTTCACTCCATACACGGTGATGATAAACTACTACTGTAGCCACAGCTGCCCTGGGGCACACTGACAGAAGCGAGGAAACTAGTATGTGCCATCGGCCCCCCTGACCACCACCAACCATTCACACACACACCAGACTCATTCTAGGGGGTAAAGTGTCTTGCCTAAGGACACAACAGCAATTTGGCACTTTACAGCCGCAGCACTGTGGCTGGTGTTCCCAGAGGTTAAGTGTCTTGCCAAGGACACAACAACAGCAGTCAGTGGGAGTCGATGCTGATGGTTGGGCTCGAACCCATGACCTTCTGGCTCAAAGGCCAATGCTCTACCAACTGAGCTGCTGTCGCCCACAACTATTAGTTTATGATGTTCGGAGGCTGTTGTTGATACATGTTATAGTATCCAATGTTGGTTCGTTCGTTGTCAAGTTTGCAAACTGCCAGTGTCAGCGTGGGCTGCCTTGGTGGGGGTGAAACCTCCTCCTCTGATTTTCATTGGTCACTGGGTGCGTAAATTAGGTTCCTTTGGGAAAGAAAGCTCAAATCTATTTTGAACCTCCCACCTTGGCAACCCAGAGTGGCAGACAGTAATAGTGGTTATTACCAACAGTCCTTTGGAAAGTAAATACAATGTTTCTGGTCCATTGCAAACGATAGCCTAATACCGCCACTGCGCTCATGTCCACGAGGCCGCAAGCGGAAACGAGAGGCCCAACTACCGCCCTCAAAAACAAAGTTAGCATCTTTCTCGTGTACAGGGTGAATGGGCAGTGTTCCTCTGTCTGAACAGGAGCAGTGTGGTACCTCCACAGGCCGAGCACCCTGACCAATCAGAGGAATGTGACGTCCAGGCCACGCCCACTCTCAATGACAGACAGTCTAACTGCGAGCCTTCAGAAACTTGACCAAAACAACCTGTTACACCGAATAACAGCCAAAACTGTGATATTTGGCAGTGTGGTTGGTTGTACTAACAGACAAGGACATAAGCCAAATGTGTCTTTTTATAATACCTGCTCGTCATGAAGACACAGAGGACGACTATGGCCAGCGGCAATCAACCAAAAGGACTGGGAGCCATCTAAGAACTCCTAAATTTGCAGTGAACACTTTTTACAAGATAAATCATTTAAAATGTTGTATTTATTTTCTTTCCATACATTTATTTGGAGGACAATGACACAAGGAACACTTGAAGTCAAACGTGTCTCTTACTACTGTCCTGTATGTGCACAGCAAGATTGAAATTTCCTCACTGTGGCACAAATACACAATCTCTTATCTTAGACGTCAGTTGCGTTTTTCACCATTTCCTCTCTGTCAATATGTATCATGTTTGGCTGTAGACAGAAAAGTGCATTGCTAATGCGCTAATGCTACCAGCACAATGTACCTTTAAATCTGCTCCAGTGTAAGGGGATGTTAACGACATAATGAAAAAGATCATGGGGGGTGAATTGGGGCAAAATTGGACATTTCATTTAGTCGTTCAAATTGACTGTGGGGAGAAGGTACGGGTCAACATCTAGTTCGGCGATCCTTAACCTCTCCAAAAACCGCTCTTTGTGAGCCCTGACAAGATGTCCTACTTTCACCGATAACGTAATCAAACATGTGCTTGAAGCAGCCACTTAAGGAGAGGAGTCACGTTTTTAAGAGTTGTGTCCGTTTTGCTCTCGCCGCAATGCTAGTTTCCATCACGTGACTGGATGACGTCGATGCATCTGGTCAATTACTCGCTGTAGGAGAAATGCAGGTGTCCAGCAGCAGAAACACATCCATCCAAACAAACACATAAATACATTATTCTAAAAGTGAATAACAACAGGGGCAGACGGGGTGAGGGGTTTAGGAGAGTGAGGGGGAGACTGGGTGATAAGGGGAAGGGATGAGGGTTCTTACCAATGAGAGCCTGGAACAGGTTACTCTGGAACACGTCGATGACTCTCTGGACGGAGAGACGCAGAGCTCGCTCCTCTGTGCGCTGAAGCTTCGACCTGTACTCCTGCAGCAACACCAGGGCCCTCTGAGCGTCTGCAGGAACCAGAGAGAGAAGTGAGACCAGGAACCAGGAAGACCAGAGAGAGACCAGAGAGAGACCAGAAAGGACTGAGACTAGGGACCAGGAAGACCAGAGAGAGACCAGAGAGAGACCAGAAGAGAGAGACCAGAAAGGACTGAGACCAAGGACCAGAGAGAGGCGTGAGACGAGGGACCAGAGAGAGACCAGCGAGAGACCAGCGAGAGACTATAGAGAGGAAGGACTGAGACCAAGGACTAGAGAGAAGAGTGTGGCAAGGAACAAGAGACCAGAGAGACTAGAAGAGAGAGAAACCAGGGAGGGACCAGGGAGGTTGATTTGGTCACTCTCACAAATAACAGTTACTGAACTAGGAGTTTACTTTTACATGCAACAGGAGCCAAACTCTGTCCATGGGTTTCATAGAGCTAGCGAGTTAGCATTGTCCAGCTACATACAGTCAGAGAAAGACCCCAAAACCCACTGTCCACCTCCATCAGGAGAGATGCTATGAATTCATTATTTTAATAAAAACTATACTTGAACTTTTTAGACTTAAACTAGACTTAGTTTGTGACAAGTCTTAGACCAGCTGTTGTTTATGGTTCAGTCAAATAACTGCCCTTGTGTACAAAGCCTGACCTCGAAAACCTGCGAGTTATAAACATCACATGAACTTATTTAGTCTTCATTCAGTTATGAGCCATTACTTCCAGCTGTGTGTGTTTGTGTATCTCTCTCTCTCTGGCCTCTCTCTCTCTCTCTGGCCTCTCTCTCTCTCCTGGCCTCTCTTCTCTGGCCTCTCTCTCCTGGCTCTCTCTCCTGGCCTCTCTCTCCTGGCCTCTCTCTCCTGGCCTCTCTCTCCTGGCCTCTCTCTCCTGGCCCTCTCTCTCCTGGCCTCTCTCTCCTGGCCTCTCTCTCTCTCCTGGCCTCTCTCTCTCCTGGCCTCTCTCTCTCCTGGCCTCTCTCTCTCCTGGCCTCTCTCTCTCCTGGCCCTCTCTCTCCTGGCCTCTCTCTCCTGGCCTCTCTCTCCTGGCCTCTCTCTCCTGGCCTCTCTCTCCTGGCCTCTCTCTCCTGGCCTCTCTCTCCTGGCCTCTCTCTCCTGGCCTCTCTCTCCTGGCCTCTCTCTCCTGGCCTCTCTCTCCTGGCCTCTCTCTCCTGGCCTCTCTCTCCTGGCCTCTCTCTCCTGCCTCTCTCTCTCTCCTGGCCTCTCTCTCCTGGCCTCTCTCTCCTGGCCTCTCTCTCCTGGCCTCTCTCTCCTGGCCTCTCTCTCCTGGCCTCTCTCTCCTGGCCTCTCTCTCCTGGCCTCTCTCTCCTGGCCTCTCTCTCCTGGCCTCTCTCTCCTGGCCTCTCTCTCCTGGCCTCTCTCTCCTGGCCTCTCTCTCCTGGCCTCTCTCTCCTGGCCTCTCTCTCCTGGCCTCTCTCTCTCTGAACTCTTTCTATGACCTATCTCTGTCCCCTCTCTGGCCTCTGTTTCTTTGGTCTCTGGGTTCTCTTTCTCTGGCCCCTCTCCCTGACCAATCTTTCTCTCTGGTTTCTCTTTCTAACTTCTCTCCCTCTTTTCCTCCCTCTCTGGTCTCTCCCTCTCTCTCTTGGTCCAGTCCTGGTGCTGGTTGTGCGTGCCGCTGAATGAAGTGCGTTGTAAATATTTCATTCATATTCAAGTATTTTTAGCAGGTCTTCTCTCTGAACGCCCGACATCCACAGCTCCGCGGTCTAACAGAGACTACAGCAGCGGGTCTGGCTGGAGCAGAGTGCCACGGGACACGCAGGCGTACACGCATGAGGGCGTGTTGTTGTGGGCAGACCAGGACTGGTCTCTCGCTCTGGTCTCTCGCTCTGGTCTCTCGCTCTGGTCTCTCGCTCTGGTCTCTCGCTCTGGTCTCTCGCTCTGGTCCTCTCGCTCTGGTCTCTCGCTCTGGTCTCTCGCTCTGGTCTCTCGCTCTGGTCTCTCGCTCTGGTCTCTCGCTCTGGTCTCTCGCTCTGGTCTCTCGCTCTGGTCTCTCGCTCTGGTCTCTCGCTCTGGTCTCTCGCTCTGGTCTCTCGCTCTGGTCTCTCCTCTGGTCTCTCGCTCTGGTCTCTCGCTCTGGGCTCTCGCTCTGGGCTCTCGCTCTGGTCTCTCGCTCTGGTCTCTCGCTCTGGTCTCTCGCTCTGGTCTCTCGCTCTGGTCTCTCGCTCTGGGCTCTCTCTCACTCACTGGGCTCTCTCTCACTCACTGGGCTCTCTCTCACTCACTGGGCTCTCTCTCACTCACTGGGCTCTCTCTCACTCACTGGGCTCTCTCTCACTCACTGGGCTCTCTCTCACTCACTGGGCTCTCTCTCACTCACTGGGCTCTCTCTCACTCACTGGGCTCTCTCTCACTCACTGGGCTCTCTCTCACTCACTGGTCTCTCTCTCACTCACTGGTCTCTCTCTCATTCACTGGTCTCTCTCTCACTCACTGGTCTCTCTCTCACTCACTGGTCTCTCTCTCACTCACTGGTCTCTCTCTCACTCACTGGTCTCTCTCTCACTCACTGGTCTCTCTCTCACTCACTGGTCTCTCTCTCACTCACTGGTCTCTCTCTTACTCACTGGTCTCTCTCTCACTCACTGGTCTCTCTCTCTCACTCACTGGTCTCTCTCTCTCACTCACTGGTCTCTCTCTCACTCACTGGTCTCTCTCTCACTCACTGGTCGGTCTCTCACTCACTGGTCGGTCTCTCACTCACTGGTCTCTCTCTCACTCACTGGTCTCTCTCTCACTCACTGGTCTCTCTCTCACTCACTGGTCTCTCTCTCACTCACTGGTCTCTCTCACTCACTGGTCTCTCTCTCACTCTCTCTGGTCCCTCTCTCACTGGTCTCTCTCTCTCTCACTCTCTTTGGTCTCTCTCTCTCATTCACTTAAGTCTCTCTCTCTCTGGTATCTCATTGCCTGGTCCCTCTCCCTTTCCCTCTGGTCCCGCTCTCTCTCCTCTCTGATCTCTCTCTCACTGGTCTCTCTCTATTGTCTCTCTCTCTCTCACTCTCACTGGTGTCTCTCTCTCACTCTCCCTCTGGTCTCTCTCTCATTGTCTCGTCTCTCTCCCCCTGGTGTCTCTCTCCCTTGTGAACGCCCAGCACCCTGCAGAGCGGTTAGCCGTGCTGCTAATTAAGTGACATCAAAGCACTTACCCTTCTTTCTGACGGGCATGACTCTTGCTGTGGCCCAGTGTCGGACACATAAACCCGCGTCACTTTCTGAGCCGTGTCCCCAAGTCGCTCCGTGCAGCCTCAGTGGAAAAACAACTTCTAAAAGAGTGCCCAAGTGTCCGAGCCCAGTCTACGGCCAGAGACGCTCCTGACCCGGGTAAAACCTCCAGACCCACCGATGCACCGCGGACCGAGCCGAGCCGAGCCGAGCCGAGCGTGAGGGTTTGGCTTCGGGAACAGACTAAGATCAGGGCAAAGATCTGCTGCTTTTCTTTAAAAATAAAAATAAAACTTCCAAGTTGATCCGAGTGACAGCAGCCGTGCCGAGCCGTGCCCAGCCGTACCAAGCCGTGCTCCCGTGCACCGTGCTCAGCCTGCCTGCGTGTCAAAGGTCCCCCCGCGGAGAGAGAAGCCTCCTTTCGCCACCGCAGGAGTTCTTCAAACACCCCCTCCTCCTCCTCAGGTTCACAAATTCCAAACTTTCCAGCAAAATGGCGTCTCCAGTCACTCACCGAGCCCGAGACACGGAACCATGTGACTTCCAAAGCCTTCCCCTCCAACCTGGCACCCAATCACCGCGGCTCACCTACAGGACCCAGGGAGAGCTCCGCGCCCGGGGGGAGAGAGGAGAGAGGAGAGGAGAAAGGAGAGGAGAGGAGAAAGAGAAGAGAGAGAGAGAGAGGGGAGAGGAAGGGAGAGGAGAAAGAATAGAGAGAGAGAGAGAGGAGAGGAAGGGAGAGGAGAAAGAATAGAGAGAGACGGCAAAGGAGAGGAGAAAGAATAGAGAGAGACGGCAAAGGAGAGGAGAAAGAATAGAGAGAGAGAGAGAGAGGAGAGGAAGGGAGAGGAGAAAGAATAGAGAGAGACGGCAAAGGAGAGGAGAAAGAATAGAGAGAGACGGCAAAGGAGAGGAGAAAGAATGAGAGAGAGAGAGAGAGAGGAGAGGAAGGGAGAGGAGAAAGAATAGAGAGAGACGGCAAAGGAGAGGAGAAAGAATAGAGAGAGAGAAGGGAGAGGAAGGGAGAGGGGAAAGAATAGAGAGAGAAAGGGGGGAGAGGAAGGGAGAGGGGAAAGAATAGAGAGAGAAAGAGGGGAGAGGAAGGGAGAGGAGAAAGAATATGAGAGACGGCAAAGGAGAGGAGAAAGAATAGAGAGAGAGAGGGGAGAGGAAGGGAGAGGGGAAAGAATAGAGAGAGAGGGGAGAGGAAGGGAGAGGAGAAAGAATAGAGAGAGAAAGAGGGGAGAGGAAGGGAGAGGAGAAAGAATAGAGAGAGACGGCAAAGGAGGGGAGAAAGAATAGAGAGAGAGAAGGGAGAGGGGAAAGAATAGAGAGAGAAAGAGGGGAGAGGAAGGAAGAGGAGAAAGAATATGAGAGACGGCAAAGGAGAGGAGAAAGAATAGAGAGAGAGAGGGGAGAGGAAGGGAGAGGGGAAAGAATAGAGAGAGAGGGGAGAGGAAGGGAGAGGAGAAAGAATAGAGAGAGAAAGAGGGGAGAGGAAGGGAGAGGAGAAAGAATAGAGAGAGACGGCAAAGGAGGGGAGAAAGAATAGAGAGAGAGAGGGGAGAGGAGAAAGAATAGAGAGAGACGGGAGAGGAAAGGAGAAAGAATAGAGAGAGACGGGAGAGGAAAGGAGAAAGAATAGAGAGAGGCGGGAGAAAAGAGCAGAGTGAGGAAAGAGGAGAGAGCATATGAGAGGGGAGAGGAGGGAGAGGAGAAAGAATAGAGAGAGGGGAGAGAGCAGAGTGAGAGAGGGGAGAGGAGAGGAGAAAGCAGAGGGGAGATGAGAGAGCAGAGTAAGAGAGGGGAGAGGAGAAAGCCAAGGAGAGAGCTTGAGGAGAGGAGAAAGAATAGAGAGAGGGGAGAGGAGAAAGAATGTAGAGAGACGGGAGAGAAGAAAGCAGAGTGAGGAAAGAGGAGAGAGCATATGAGAGGGGAGAGGAGAGGAGAACGAATAGAGAGAGGGGAGAGAGCAGAGTGAGAGAGGGGAGAGGAGAGAGCAGAGAGAGGAGGGAGAGGAGAGCAGAAAGAATAGAGAGAGGGGAGAGAGTAGAGTGAGAGAGGGGAGAGGAGAAAGAATAGAGAAAGGCGGGAGAGAAGAGAGCAGAGTGAGGAAAGAGAATAGAGCATAAGGGAGAGGAGGAGAGCAGAGAGAGGAGGGGAGAGGAGAGAAGAGGAGAGAGCAATGAGAGGGTAGAGGAGAGAGCATAGAGAGGGGAGAGAAGAAAGCATGGGGAGGGGAGAGGAGAGAGCACAGAGAGGGGAGAGGAGAGAGCATAGAGAGGGGAGAGAAGAAAGCATGGGGAGGGGAGAGGAGAGAGCACAGAGAGGGGAGAGGAGAGAGCACAGAGAGGGGAGAGGAGAGAGCATAGAGAGGGGAGAGGAGAGAGCACAGAGAGGGGAGAGGAGAGAGCACAGAGAGGGGAGAGGAGAGAGCACAGAGAGGGGAGAGGAGAGAGCATAGAGAGGAGAGAGCACAGAGGGGAGAGAGCACAGAGAGGAGAGAGCATAGAGAGGGGAGAGGAGAGAGCACAGAGAGGGGAGAGGAGAGAGCATAGAGAGGAGAGAGCACAGAGAGGAGAGAGCACAGAGAGGAGAGAGCACAGAGAGGAGAGAGCACAGAGAGGAGAGAGCACAGAGAGGAGAGAGCATAGAGAGGGGAGAGGAGAGAGCATGGGGAGAGAGGAAGCAACGTTTGGATATACTGCAGATGTTGGTGACTTTTTCATTGGTGTGTTTTATTGCCTCCTGTTTGAGTTTCTCCTCTGTGCGGAGGTGAGGGGGGTTTCTCTTTGTTCTGAAGTCAGCAGGAGAATTACACACAACACAACACACAAAACTCCTTTGGATTCAGACCCGGATTTGTGCCAAGCTAAGCCATAGTAAGTGACGGGACCTAGGCCAATGCTTTAGGGAGCTTCCACAGACTATTAGCTAATAATAGAAAGGAAAGGTAGGTTTATTTGTTTAGAACAGATAAAAAATAACACACACAGCAACTTAAACTGCTGAACAAAACAAGAAAAAATACACAGAAACTTTCAAATCATGAACGATAACAGTGAATTAAACAAAGTGAAGACACAATCCTTCAGTTGTTGCAGCGAAACAGAACTGTTTTTAACTTAGATTTGAACATTGTCAGAGAAGAAGAAGCCTGTCTCGTATTTTCAAGAAGACTGTTTCAGATTTTAGCAGATCAACTTCGTGTGCGTCGAGCCACACGGAGGAGAATTCTACTTCCGTCCAAACGAAACGACGCAAAGCTCTAGTTTCAGTTTCCATTTTCGCAGCTATTTGTTGAATCCAGAATAATATTGATGCATTCTTTCACGTCTTTGGCCTGAGGAGGATTTTGTTGAGGAAGTAATTAACTTGCTCTTGGGGGGTCGCGTGTGTCGTGTTTTAAAGTTGCACTGCCCACTACTGGCCGGGCGCTAGAACTACATTTTTCTGCTCCATTCCATCATGTAGAGGCTGTACACTACGAATAAGGAGCCTGGTCATTTTTGCTAATTGCGTCTCCGCAGTGTCTCGGTCTAAACGGGGATTCAGTCCTGGATCTACAGCCTCAGTCCTGGATCTACAGCCTCAGCCCTGGATCTACAGCCTCAGTCCTGGATCTACAGCCTCAGTCCTGGATCTACAGCCTCAGCCCTGGATCTACAGCCTCAGTCCTGGATCTACAGCCTCAGCCCTGGATCTACAGCCTCAGTCCTGGATCTACAGCCTCATTCCTGGATCTACATTCTCAGTCCTGGATCTACAGCCTCAGTCCTGGATCTACATTCTCAGTCCTGGATCTACAGCCTCATCTACAGCCTCAGTCCTGGATCTACAGCCTCAACCCTGGATCTACAGCCTCAGCCCTGGATCTACAGCCTCAGCCCTGGATCTACAGCCTCAGCCCTGGATCTACATTCTCAGTCCTGGATCTACAGCCTCATCTACAGCCTCAGTCCTGGATCTACAGCCCCAGCCCTGGATCTACAGCCTCAGCCCTGGATCTACAGCCTCAGCCCTGGATCTACAGCCTCAGTCCTGGATCTACAGCCTCATCTACAGCCTCAGCCCTGGGTCTACAGCCTCAGTCCTGGATCTACAGCCTCAGTCCTGGATCTACAACCTCAGTCCTGGATCTTCATCATCAGTCCTGGATCTACAGCCTCAGTCCTGGATCTACAGCCTCAGTCCTGGATCTACAGCCTCAGTGTTTGATTCTCCGATCTTTTGTTGTGAAATCAACAACTTTGTAAAGTCCTCCAAGATGACCGATTTTGGTATTTCACACAAACACATCGAAGTGAATGTGTTGTGATCCGGTCCCTGTGACTGTATGTGACGCTGGCGGATCAGTCGCCAAAGTCCAGATTTATACCAAGATTAATATTCAGCATGTTGTTCAGAGTGGGATAAAAGAGGCATGACATGAGTCGTAATCACAGGCCCCAAATCCCCCAACTCTGAAAGAGAGCGAGCAGAGAGAGAGAGAGAGAGCAGAGAGAGGGCAAAGAGAAGGCAGAGGGAGGGCAGAGAGAGAGCAGAGAGAAAGGAAAGAAAGGGCAGAGAGAGAGAAAGCAGAGAGTAATCGAGCAGAGGAAGGGCAGAGAGAGCGAGCAGAGAGAAAACAGAGAGAGGGCAGAGAGAGAGCAAGCAGAGAGGGAGGGCAGAAAGAGCAAAGAGAGCAGAGAGAGCGAGTATAGAGAGAGCAGAGACAGATGAGAGAGAGGGCAGAAAGAGAGAGAGCAGAGAGAGAAAGCAAAGGGACCAGTGTGGAAGAGAAGAGAGTCCAGAGGAGCAGGGGCAGCTCCAGTGGCTGTACAATCATATCCTACATTTGTCTCCAGTGTTAGTAACAGCTGCTGACTGGTTTCTGCTTTATTATCACAATGCTGCAGCTGGAGTCAGGACTAGAACCAGTCTGGCACTGGCTCCTGTGGCTCAGAGAATAGACTCTAAAGCAGTCTCGCACCAAAGAACATCCCAGACCTGTTGGTGCCATA